CTGGGTCAGTGAGAGGTTGAAAATGTCAGTGAAGACACTTGCCAGCTGGTCAGTGCATGCTCTGAGTATGTGTCCTGGTAGTCTGTCTGAATCTTGTGAACGTTATCCTGTTTTTAAAGGTCTTACTCACATTGGCTACGGAGAGCGTGATCACACAGTCGTCCGGAACAGCTGGTGTTCTCATGCATGGTCAGTGTGGCTTTCCTCAAAGCGAACATAGAAGGCATTTAGCTTGTCTGGTAGGCTTGCGTCACTGAGCAGCTTGCGGCTGGGTTTCCCTTTGTAATCCGTGATAGTTTGCAAGCCCTGCCACATCCGACGAGCATCAGAGCCGGTGTAGTAGGATTCGATCTTAGTACTGTATTGACGCTTTGCCTGTTTGATGGTTGGTCGGAGGGCGTAGCGAGATTTCTTGCAAGCGTCCAGATTAGTGTCCCACTGCTTGAAACCGGCAGCTCTAGCTCGGTGCGGATGTTTCCTCTAATCAATGGCTTCTGGTTGGGATATATGCGTATGGTCACTTTGGAGATGACGTCGTCGACGCACTTATTACTGAAGCCGGTGACTGATGTGGTGAACTCCTCAATGCCGTCAGATGAATCCCAGAACATATTCCAGTCTGTGCTAGCAAAACAGTCCTGTAGTTTAGCATCCGCTTCATCAGACCACTTCACTGGTACTTCCTGTTTGAGTTTTTGCTTATAAGCAGGAATCAGGAGGATAAAGTTATGGTCAGTTTTGCCAAATGGAGGGAGAGGGAGAGCTTTGTATGCGTCTCTGTGTGTGGAATAAAGGTGGTCTAGAGTTTTTTTTCCTCTGGTTGCACATTTAACATGCTGGTAGAAATGAGGTAGAACTGATTTAAGTTTCCCTGCATTAAAGTCCCCGGCCACTAGGAGCACTGCCTCTGGATGAGCGTTTTCCTGTTCACTTATGGCTTTATACAGCTCATTCAGTGCAATCTTAATGCCAGCATTGGTTTGTGGTGGTAAATAGACAGCTATGAAAAATATAGATGAAAACTCTCTTGGTGTGGTCTACAGCTTATCATAAGATACTCTACCTCAGGCGAGCAAAACCTCGAGACTTCCTTAGTATTTGATTTTGTGCACCAGCTGTTGTTTACAAATATACACAGACCGCCACCCCTTGACTTACCGGAGTCAGCCGTTCTATCCTGCCGATGTAGCGTATAGCCCGCTAGCTGTATGTTGTCCATGTCGTCGTTCAGCCACGACTCGGTGAAACATAATATATTACAGTTTTTAATGTCCCGTTGGTAGGATTACCATAATCTTAGGTAATCTAATTTATTTTCAAATGATTGCACATTGGCTAATAGGATTGATGGAAGAGGCAGTTTACTCGCTCGCCGTCGGATCCTTACAAGGCACCCGACCTACTTCCACGATATCTCCGTCTCTTTCTAATGCGAATGACGGGGATTTGGGCCTTGTCGGGTGTCTGTAGGATATCCTTCGCGTCCGACTTGTTGAATAAAAAATCTTCATCCAATACGAGGTGAGTAATCACTGCCCTGATATCCAGAAGCTCTTTTTGGTTATAAGAGACGATGGCAGAAACATTATTACATTTTACATTTTAGTCATTTAGCAGATGCTCTTATCCAGAGCGACTTACAGTTAGTGAGTGCATACATTTTCCATACTGGCCCCCCGTGGGAATCGAACCCACAACCCTGGCATTGCAAGCGCCATGCTCTACCAACTGAGGTACAGGAGGCCTTATGTACAGAATAAATTACAAATAACGTGGAAAAACACACATAATAGTACAATTGGTTAGAGGGCTGTAAAACAGCAGCCATCTTCTCCGGCGCCATTCTCATCAGCATTTGAACAAATTCAGGACATTAAAAAAGTCCCCCACATGCTTTAAACCCCCTATGCTCCTTAAAGACACCTCTTTCAAAGTCACTGAGATCTCTTCTTCTAGCCATGGTAGCCAAAATAATGGGCAACAGGGCATTTTTATACATGACCCTAAGGATGCTGGGGTGTTAATGCTGAATTAACTCAGGAACCACACTTGTGTGGAAGCACCTGCTTTCAATATACTTTCTATCCCTCATTTACTCAAGTGTTTCCTTTATTTTGGCAGTTACCTGTACGTTCAGAGGAGCAGTCATACTGTACTATACAGAGTGAATTCTCTTTCGTGGACTTATTCACTGTACACATTCAAGTTACAGCCAGACGTACAGTTTCATCAATACAGAGAAGACTGTTCAGGGATAAACAAGTCCTTGTGCATTGCTGCCTCTACACATAGGCCTATCTGTCTGCATGTTCAACTGCATAATGAATGAAGCCTGTGACTCCAATAGCTTTCAGGGAGAAACAGTAATACTGCATCATCACTTTGGCTTGCCAGAAAAGTTGCATTATATGTGCAGTAGTAACTGAATTGGATTGATACAATCATTTGATATCGATATACACTGCAGAGAAGCATGATAATTGAACATTAGCTCAATATAGATTGCAGCAAATTCACAATGATGGCGCATTCTTGACACAATGTTTGTTTGCAAAATAAATGCACTAGAGTACTGATTGCTGAATGCGAATGTAATGCATAATGTGGGGTGCATCCATCATTGATGATCTTACTGTTAGGTATCTGTGCTGATTTGGAATATTTGCTCTTGTATCAAACTGAGACAGTGTATGGTAGTTAACTTTCAGATGAAGTAACACAAATAGACAAAAGGACAGCTCTGTTGTAGGAACAATGTTGTTCAGTTACTAGCTTCTCTCCCCCATATGTAATTGTGGTAGAATTGCCTCATCAGGCTATTTCTGTCTCAGCTCTATCTCCCCATCCTCTTCCCCTAATTTTAAGGCTTTGTATAGCCCTCAAAAGAGGGGTTTTGTATCCCTTTGGTGTGGCTCCTTATGGGCGTGGAAGTAGTGATGAAGGACGGACCCTGTGGTTTACTACCACTGCCCCTTCCCCTCATGCCCTCCCCCCCACGCGCTCAAACCTGTACTGTTTTTCTCTGAGGTTGCCACCCCAATGAGCAGACACATCCATCCACAAATGGAAACACGTGTAGAGAAGACATGCTGTGCGCCTGCCGTATGTAATTGCTGCATTGCCTAATCAAACAGCGGCGTTAAAGCCAAGAAAATTGTACCCTCCAATTAAAGGTTGTGCTTATGGCCTAGATCTAATTAGTAGAGCTCCTGTTTATTTTGAGGAGTTGAATTACCTCCATCTTCCCTCCCCCTCACGCTCCCCCCAACACTGGGAAGTAGTCAGTGCTTCTTATCCATACAAACGCATGAACAAGTGAACCACAAACACTTAATTTCAAGTAGGGCACCACTCATAACCTCGAACAAGCTAATTTTTTAATAACTTGATTGCTCTCAAAGAATTGGGCCATAGCCAATAATCAAACAATAAATGTTTGACGTCATGGATTCCTTTACATTCCATGAAACATTGATGTTTACACCTAATACAGAACTTTAAAAAAAAAGAAACCATAAAAATCATAAAAAGAGGTGAGGAAACACTTCTGGCGCGTTACCTATTTTTCCAAACTCGTCTGTCAAATCCACCATTGCAGCTGCCGGTTCACAGTCGCCCATTTTTTACGAGAGTGTTTTAAAAAGTCCTCCCTTTTATTTCAGCTCATGAAACATGGGACCAACACTACATGTTGCGTTTATAAAACACGAGAGTGTTTTAAAAAATCGGATCGGTGTCCGGTTTTTCTGGGGCGTTTCTCCTGGCTCCCCTTGTTTTGTCACTGGATAGCCTACGTGGAGAGAGAGAAAACGAGCGAACGAGAGAAAATAATGGAAAGAAAGGAAGAAAACAGTCCTTCATTCGGTCTGAGAAGAGCTTAGAGTCCCTGGAAGTAGGGGTTGGAATGTGTGTGTTCTAGAAGTAGGAGCCGGGCATCTCCAGGGCTGGTGCTGGTTATAGGAGACCTCTGTGTAGGCCCATGTAGGCTGATGGAGAGCGAGGGAGGCCCCTGGGTAAAGGGAAGGGCTGGGACAGTGGTTAACCACAGATTGTAGGATGCCGCTTGGGGCTGGGGCCTGGCGGCTCAACATCACAGGGACAGAAACCCTCCCCTGCACAAGATCACTGCACCAGTTGCAAAATACAAATGGCTAGCTTCCCTTCGCTAAGTCACAGACTGTATATATCCACGGGAAGGGCTTGGCTGACCAAATTACACCCTCTGTACCATGGAAACATGGTCTTTGTCATTGCTGTGGTGGTGCTGTGTAGTTAACAGTACATCTGCCGTGCAGAGTGTCACCCCCATGGCCTGTGTTATGTCTGCCCTATGACAAATCTACTTCACAGGGACCTCTTATAGTTTTGACCTTTCCTGGAGTACATGAAGCCACAATGATAGGCTTTGCTGTTGACCTCAGACAAATCCAAGACTCAAACTATTCTCTAAGCCTCAGCAAAGAATAGTCCGCTCACATTCTGTCTCCAAGTAGTACTTTGAAGCCTGCAGCAGTAAAAGAGCTTCACCTTGTATTACAGAACGCAAACAAAGGATTAAGGCATCTGAACCTTTCTGGGCACCAGGTAAAGGGGCGCTGCCAGTCCTATTTAACATCAAGCTGCTCTGCCCCCGCCATCCCATATTTATTTTATTTAAGCTTACAGTCAATCCTGGACCAGGAACCCCTGTTGAGAAAACCAAAAGAACACAGTATTGTTTGATGCCGCCATATAAAGCGCCTTTGATACATATGGTATGACACATGAAAAAGCTTTTATTCTGCATGCTAAATACAGGATGCTCATGAGGTCAAGGCCTTCCCTTTCTGTTGGCTAGTGATACCACCTTTCAATCCGGTAGCTAGTCAGTATTACTTTGCTTTCAAATAATATTTCCTCTTTATTCCATTTGTTTACAGTAGCTGTTTTATGAAGATCAGAAAGAAGCATCTCAGATGTTCTGGTTTGTTCAGTTAAATAGGCCATTCTTTGTTCTTCAGTCGAGGCAGAGTTGGATCTCAGTGACAACACTACAAAGCCGATGGAGACTCAGGTTTCTCTCCTGGGTACCCACCAGCGTCGTGGATCTTCAGTGAGACTGCCAGTGTCAGGTTCCCCTCATAGGGTTTTAAGCACCATTGACAGCATTTTGAATTCCCGAAGCCCGTTCTCACACAGCTCATCTTAGCTCAGCTCAGCTCAGCTCTGGAGCCATTACACTACAGTCGTGGTCAAAAGTTTTGAGAATGACACAAGTATTGGTCTTCACAAAGTTCGCTGCTTCAGTGTTATGAGATATTTTTGTCAGATGTTACTATGGTATACTGAAATATAATTACAAACATTCCATAAGTGTCAAAGGCTTTTATTGACAATTACATTAAGTTTATGCAAAGAGTCAATATTTGCATTGTTGACCCTTCTTATTCAAGACCTCTGCAATCCGCCCTGGCATGCTGTCAATTAACTTCTGGGCCACATCCTGACTGATGTTAGCCCATTCTTGCATAATCAATGCTTGGAGTTTGTCAGAATTTGTGGGTTTTTGTTTGTCCACCCGCCTCTTGAGGATCGACCACAAGTTCTCAATGGGATTAAGGTCTGGGGAGTTTCCTGGCCATGGACCCAAAATGTTGATGTTTTGTTCTCCGAGCCACTTAGTTATCACTTTTGCCTTATGGCAAGGTGCTCCATCATGCTGGAAAAAGCATTGTTCGTCATCAAACTGTTCTTGGATGGTTGGGAGAAGTTGCTCTCGGAGGATGTGTTGGTACCATTCTTTATTCATGGCTGTGTTCTTAGGCACAATTGTGAGTGAGCCCACTCCCTTGGCTGAGAAGAAACCCCACACATGAATGGTCTCAGGATGCTTTACTATTGGCATGACACAGGACTGATGGTAGCGCTCACCTTCTCTTCTCCGGACAAGGTGTTTTCCGGATGCCCCAAACAATCGGAAAGGGGATTCATCAGAGAAAATGACTTTACCCCAGTCCTCAGCAGTCCAATCCCTGTACCTTTTGCAGAATATCAGTCTGTCCCTGATGTTTTTCCTGGAGAGAAGTGGGTTCTTTGCTGCCCTTCTTGACACCAGGGCATCCTCCAAAAGTCTTCGCCTCACTGTGCGTGCAGATGCACTCACACCTGCCTGCTGCCATTCCTGAGCAAGCTCTGCACTGGTGGTGCCCCGATCCCGCAGCTGAATCAACTTTAGGAGACGGTCCTGGCGCTTGCTGGACTTTCTTGGGCGCCCTGACGCCTTCTTCACAACAATTGAACCTCTCTCCTTGAAGTTCTTGATGATCCGATAAATGGTTGATTTAGGTACAATCTTACTAGCAGCAATATCCTTGCCTGTGAAGCCCTTTTTGTGCAAAGCAATGATGACGGCACGTGTTTCCTTGCAGGTAACCATGGTTAACAGAGGAAGAACAATGATTTCAAGCACCACCCTCCTTTTAAAGCTTCCAGTCTGTTATTCTAACTCAATCAGCATGACAGAGTGATCTCCAGCCTTGTCCTCGTCAGCACTCTCACCTGTGTTAACGAGAGAATCACTGACATGATGGCAGCTGGTCCTTTTGTGGCCGGGCTGAAATGCAGTGGAAATGTTTTTGGGGGATTAAGTTAATTTTCATGGCAAAGAGGGACTTTGCAATTAATTGCAATTCATCTGATCACTCTTCATGACATTCTGGAGTATATGCAAATTGCCATCATCAAAACTGAGGCAGCAGACTTTATGAAAATTGTACATTATATTCAGCAGGCAGTCGTTTCTCATCTTCCTAAAGAGATGTTCAATAGCCCAGGGTGGAACCAGGGGAAACAGTCTGTTTGAAAACAGAAAAGACTGCTACAATACAAACTCAGGAACCAACATTAAGCTTCCAACTCTTTCAGACATGATGTGTGGTGCTGATTGACAGCTTTGCCTGAGGGATGTTAGAGAGAGAAACAATTTGTTAACACAGTGAGCTGCTTGGAAATATGTGACAGGACATTTCATGGTTGTTAGGTGTGCAAGGTGAAAACCGTTATTTTCCAGCCAACTGGAAATGATTTGGGGGAAAGAACAAGCCCAGTTTAAAAAAGTAGAAACTGTGTGAATGTTGATGATATTTCAGTGCCCTCCGTAACCTATTTCACGGTTGGAAAATAATCCTTGGCGCAACTATCATAACTGAATTATGATAGACCCATAATAAGATAAAGTATTAAATGTCTCTTTTGCACTTTAAAACAAATGTATCTTGAATAAATCCACAGAATGGTTTAGGGTGCTGTAAAACAAATATACTGAACAAAAATATAAACGCAACATGTAGTGTTGGTCCCATGTTTCATGAGCTGAAATAAAAGATCCCTTAAATTTCTCTTACATTTTGTGCACAAATTTGTTTACATCCCTGTTAGTGAGCATTTTTCCTTTACTAAAATAATCCATCCACCTGACAGTTGTGGCATATCAAGAAGCTGATTAAACAGCATGATACTTACACAGGTGCACCTTGTGCTGCGGACAATAAAAGGCCACTCTTAAATGTGCAGTTCTGTCACACAACACAATGCCACAGATGTCAACATTTTTAGGGAGCGCGCAATTGGCATGCTGCCTGCAGGAATGTCCACCAGAGCTGTTGCCAGAGAATTGAATGTTCGTTTCTCTACCATAAGCCGCCTCCAACATTGTTTTAGATAATTTGGCAGTACGTCCAACCAGCCTCACAACCGCAGACCACGTGTAACCACGCCAGCCCAGGACCTCCACATCCGGCTTTTTCACCTGCGGGATCATCTGAGACCAGCCACCAGGACAGCTGATGAAACTGAGTAGCATTTCTGTCTGTAATAAAGCCCTTTTGTGGGGAAAAACTCATTCAGATTGGCTGGGTCTGGCTCCCCAGCGGGTGGGCCTGTCGCCCAAGTGGGTGCCTAATGAATGTATGTCAATTGACTGATTTTCTTAAATGAACTGTAACTCATTAAAATCGTTGAAATTGTTGCATGTTGCGTTTATATTTTTGTTCAGTATACATAAACTCTTCTCAGATAAATGTTTTCAGAATAAGACACATTTGGGGGAGCATGTTTTAACAAAGATGGCAAACATGGCTATGGTAGGGTTGACTGAATCCAGCCCCATGCCCTGATACGTTAGAGATGATGACTCTGTTATGACTGATTGACTCGTCCTGTTTTGTGTTTTGATGCATAGAGATCCGTAACCAGCTGGTGGAGCAGTTCAAATGCCTGGAGCAGCAGTCCGAGTCTCGTATCCAGCTTCTGCAGGACCTGCAGGACTTCTTCCGCCGCAAGGCTGAGATCCAGCTGGAGTACTCCCGCAGCCTGGAGAAACTGGCAGAGCGCTTTTCCAACAAGATCCGCAGCTCCAGAGAACACCACCAGTTCAAGTGAGTATCCCTCCTTGCAGAGATGAGACCACCACACCGCTAAAGACCACCTAGCTTCAAACTGAGCCAAACATTTAAACTGTATGTGAGGCAGCGAGGGATTGTGTGTGCATGTGTGTGTTCATGCAAGTGTGTGTTTGTGTGTCTACTTGCCTTGCCAGAACATGTCTACTCTGTTTGTGTGTTTGCTTGGGTGTGCAGATAAATGTTTTATATTGTCTTAGAGCGTGTGAACTTGTTGAGTACACATGGAGTTACATCCGTTCTTGCCAAGTTTTTCTCCCCAGATCTCAAACTACTCCACCCTCTTTTTCTCACTGTAATCTGTCCAAAAACGACTCCTGCTGCATTTTAGGTTCACTGCATAGCCTTTGGATATAAATGTCCTTCTTAAAATACGCAAGAAGATAATGATTTTTCCTCTTTACTCATTAGAAATCTCAAACCATCCAATGGCGATAGAAAAGTAATCTCATTCTGGATGAAACCTCAATTTTAATTGGCAAAGCTGATACTCAGCACTCCAGTGCAGAATGTCCCCATATAAAGCTCTTGTTCCTGTAGCTCTGGGCTGAGGAGGGACTCAAAGCCAGCCAGGCCTTACCAGTATTATCCTATAGGGTCGAGGCACGGCTGGGGCAATGCATGCTACGAGACTGGGCCTTGTTTTCCATCACATCAATGGATAAATAGATTTTTCTCTGCCATTTAGGCATGCCAGTGATATATTTACAGCTTGCTAGCTAGCCCCAGCCTTTACACTGGAGCGTTTGAGTACAGTGCAGTCTTATGCTGTAAAATGTACTCCTCGTCCTCTGTCTGTACAGTATGTACTGTACTCCCAACTTTTTAATATAATGTAACACATTCTAAAGGTTAACTATTTTAATATGATAACAGTGATCATAACAGTAGTTTTTAAACTTTGCATGTCAGTGCAGGCAGTAAAGTAGAGAGGGGGTGTTTCAGAAGTGTGTCATCCGGTTAGTTCAGGCCCTGGTGAATTCGATGGGGATTTGACTCAGTAATTGAGACCAACTGTTTTCGAGCAGGCAGCTTGCACCAGGGTCCCCAAGGCCATGCTGACAGTAGACAGGCATGTTCTGCTGCAGAAGCTATGGCTTAACCAAGACACTTACTGTATAGTAGATCTTCTAGTAGACCAGTTCAAACAGTTCTTGAAGAGCAGGCACCAGCCACACAATTCTTACCAGACTCAGCATCTCATCTTCCTCTGCCACCTCAATGCTTTCACCAAGACTGCCTCAACCACTGGACTCACTCTCATAGGGCTGCAGTATAAAGCAGCCGTCTAGAAGTCTGTAGCCGCAGAGTCTTTGGCTGTGTGTAGTTGTCTGACGACACACACACACACACACACACACACACACACACACACACACACACACACACACGCGCACACACACACACACACACACACACACTGAAGATCTGTGTGTTGGCAACAACGAAGTGTGACATTTTGATTACACACACTTCTTTATGAGGGCCACGTTGGCTTCCTTTGGACTCCATTAACCCAAACAAACACAAACATAAAAATGTTCAATCAATTAGCTTTGACAGTGTCCTTGTTAAAGACCCTCGCTTCATAAATAAACCCTGGGCACAACATCTACTGTGTATATATATATCACACACAACACATATGTAATATGGATACTCTCTGGCTGTCTCTCAAATATGCATGCGCTCATGTGTCCTGTCTTTCACTGTGGTCTCGCTGTGTCTTTAGTTTAGATACAAACAAGCCCCAACTCTCAGTTTCTCCCCTGATCTTTTGTCTCTCTGTGGATATTTCTGAGTTGCCACAGCAGCCCAGCTCTCTGTGGAAGGATAGGCCATGAGCAGCATGACTTCTCCGGTGCCTAGCAACTCATGCATGGCAGTCCCCTGCCTCTGCTATACACTGCACAGCACTATGGGAAATGAAAACAGCACAGTTAAAGACTCTGGTCAGCCAGGGTAGGGCAGAGGTCCACATTGAGCTGCTGGGTCACTGCCCCGGTCTTGTTGGCTTAACCCACACCATACAAATACGGCTTTATGAGCTGAGTTAATGACAGTAGTCACTGATGCTATGCCCAATGCCACTGTACTTTACAGCTGCACTGCCATGGGGCTGTATGTCTGCTCGGTCTCCTCTTGGCTCATGTACATGAACATATCAGGCAACTATAGTATCTCTCGACTAATTCAGATGAGGGTGAAATATCCCAACACCCGCCTCTGATTGGCCCATATGAAGGGAAAAGCTGAGGGCATCAGTATGCAAGAGATCCCTGCAGCTCAGCTCAGTTCAGCCCCTAATGTTCCAGCCTGCCTGGGTCTCTGCTTGGGATCTGTCAGTCTGGTCCCAGTCAACCCACCCAACCCCACCAAAACACCAACCACCAGAAGTCTATTTTCTATTACATCAAATGGTGGCCTCACTGTCAGAGAGTTGTCAGAGAGTAGGTGAAGGCTTGTCTCTGCCCTTTAGAGGGTGCCTATCTTTTTCATTTTTTTACATATAGCTGGATCTACACAACAGACATGTGACGTGGCTCTATCTTGACATTAGACCACTTGAAGATCAAACAAACTTTGATTGTGGAGTGAACTATCACTTTAAACCATTTCGTCTGTGGGGCTTCGGGCACTTCCTATTGCTCCTAGAATGATCTTCAATGTCTATGAGACAGACAAAATAAATTGATTGAGGAGACGTTTTGGGGTTTATCATTAAATGGGGATTTTAATCACCACCTATTAAACTAATATGGTATATCAGTCAAAACAGTGATTAAACATTATCAACAGCAAGCAAGCCATTATAAAGCAGCTCATTTTATATTGAAAGGAAACATAACCTGTCTGAGAGAGATAAGATAAAGCTTGCATTAACGTCCAAACCTGTGTGTTCATGTGTTTGTGCGTGTGCCTGCCTGTGTGCATGTGTTGTGTTGTGTTGTGTGTGTGTGTGTCCGTGTGTGTGCCTGCCTGCCTTTATGCGCGTGTGCATGTGTGGGTAGGAGGGGGTCATTAATGATTGTCCTGGTATCGCGCTGAGCCAGATTGTCTCCTCCACGCTCGTTCTGCTTGACTACAAACACTCTGGTGGCCTCCTCTTATTTTTCTTAACCCTAGTTCCATTTGATGTTGCTGCCTGCAATCTCTGTCCAGCTCCCTGTCTGGCTGCAAAACACAAAACATGAGACTGACTTTTCATGGTTTTTCATTGTAAATAAAAACAGTACTGTTTCGTATTAAAAACCAAACCAGACCATCCTGCAATGCAGTATGTAGCTACAGCCCATAACTCTGAGTTGAATTGATTGCCTTTGACATTTAATCTAATATCACATTTTCTTAATCGGTCCAAATACCAACCCCTTCGTGAACTAACATTCGCACTGTTATGCATGGGGTTGCTTGGTTGGTGTACTTGCCTGTGGGGCAGAGGCAGACCAAGGGCTGCCAAAGGCTTAGAATGAATATTTTTTAGGCTAGACTACATACATGCTGTACATCATATTCTGTCTGTACAGATTGCTTTGCACCAATGCATTTCTAATTTACGGACATTAGTGAGAACCATACGGCCTCTGTTCTGTGTGCCCACCAGTCCTAACCAGCCCACTGACTGTACAGCCCCTCATCATCTGTACAGCCCACATCACTGAGTCTTTCCCCGGTGGTCTAGTGTTAAAGGTTAAACTATAGTGTTAAAGGTTCAACTATATCCCTGTCAGAAAGAGAGGCTGGGTGTGTTCACAGCAAACATCAAACTCCTCTCCAAGGGAAATTGTGAGAGGCTTGTAGTCCCATATCCCTTTGGTTTACAACCTCAACTGGATGACATCAGTATCAGCAGAACCAGGCAGGGTTCTAATGTGTGTGTGTGTGTGTGTGTGTGTGTGTGTGTGTGTGTGTTTAACAAATGTTATTTGTCACGCTTTGTAAACAACAGATGCCCTTCCCAACAATGCAGAGAGAAAAAAATAGAAAGATAACAACAAGGAATAAATACACAATGAGTAACGATAATCTGGCTATTTACACGGGGTGCCAGTACTGAATCGATGTGCAGCGGTATGAGGTCATTGAGGTTGATATGTACAGTGGTTTGTGAAAGTATTCACCCCCCTTGGCATTTTTCCTATTTTGTTGCCTTACATTTTTGGGGGGTTTGTATCATTTGATTTACACAACATGCCTACCACTTTGAAGATGCAAAATATGTTGTATTGTGAAACAAACAAGAAATAAGACAAAAAAACAGAAAACTTGAGCGTGCAAAACTGCTCCAGCTCCTTCAAGTTGGATGGGTTCCGCTGGTGTACAGCAATCCTTAAATCATACCACAGATTCCCAATTGGATTGAGGTCTGGGCTTTGACTAGGCCATTCCAAGACATTTAAATGTTTCCCCTTAAACCACTCGAGTGTTGCTTTAGCAGTATGCTTAGGGTCATTGTCCTGCTGGAAGGTGAACCGTCCCAGTTTCAAATCTCTGGAAGACTGAAACAGGTTTCCCTCAATAATTTCCCTGTATTTAGCGCCATCCATCATTCCTTCAATTCTGACCAGTTTCCCAGTCCCTGCCGATGAAAAACATCCCCACAGCATGGTGTTCTCGGGGTGATGAGAGGTGTTGGGTTTGCGCCAGACATAGCGTTTTCCTTGATGGCCAAAAAGCTCAATTTTAGTCTCATCTGACCAGAGTACCTTCTTCCATATGTTTGGGGAGTCTCCCACATGCCTTTTGGCGAACACCAAATGTGTTTGCTTATTTTTTTCTTTAAGCAATGGCTTTTTTCTGGCCACTCTTCTGTAAAGCCCAGCTCTGTGGAGTGTGCGGCTTAAAGTGGTCCTGTGGACAGATACTCCAATCTCCGCTGTGGAGCTTTGCAGCTCCTTCAGGGTTATCTTTGGTCTCTTTGTTGCCTCTCTGATTAATGCCCTCCTTGCCTGGTCCGTGAGTTTTGTTTGGCAGCCCTCTCTTGGCAGGTTTGTTGTGGTGCCATATTCTTTCCATTTTTTTATAATGGATTTAATGGTGCTCCGTGGGATAATTTTTATAACCCAACCCTGATCTGTACTTCTCCACAACTTTGTCCCTGACCTGTTTAGAGAGCTCCTTGGTCTTCATGGTGCTGCTTGCTTGGTGGTGCCCTTTGCTTAGTGGTGTTGCAGACTCTGGGGCCTTTCAGAACAGGTATTTATATATACTGAGATCATGTGACAGATCATGATTGCACACAGGTTGATTTTATTTAACTAATTATGTAACTTCTGAAGGTAATTGGTTGCACCAGATCTTATTTAGGGGCTTCATAGCAAAGGGAGTGAATACATATACACGCACCACTTTTACGTTATTAATAAAAAAAAAAAAATTGAAACAAGTTATTTTTTTCATTTCACTTCACCAATTTGGCTCGGAGGTAGAAGCTGTTCAGGATCCTGTTTGTTCCAGACTTTGTGCATCGGTACCAAGTCTGGAACCAACGCCGTGCGGTAGCAGAGAGAATTGTCCTGGATGGCAGGGAGCTCGGCCCCAGTGATGTACTGGGCCATACGCAATACCCTCTGTAGCCCATTGTGGTCGGATGCCAAGCAGTTGCCATACCAAGCAGTGATGCAGCCATTCAAGATGCTCTCAATGGTGCAGCTGTATAACTTTTTTGGGATCTGAGGGTCCTTGCCTAATCTTTTCAGCCTCTTGAGGGGGAAGAGGCATTGATCGTGCCTTCTTCACGACTTTGTTGGTGTGTGTGGACCATGTTCATTCCTTTATTGAAGTGGACATTGAGGAACTTGAAGCTCTCGACCCGCTCCGCTACAGCCCCTTCGATGTGGATGGGGGCGTGCTCGGCCCTCCATTTCCTGTAGTCCATGATCAGCTCGGTTGTCTTGCTGATGTTGAGGGAAAGGTTGTTGTTCTGGCGTCACACTGCCAGGTCACTGACCTCCTCCCTATAGGCTGTCGTATCGTCGTCAGTGATCAGGCCTACCACCTTCGTGTCATCAGCAAACTTAATGATGTTGGAGTCATGCAGGGCCACACAGTTGTGGGTGAACAGGGAGTACAGGAGTGGACTAAGCACGCAACCCTGAGGGGCCCCCGTGTTGAGGATCAGCTTGGTGGATGTGTTGTTGCCTACCCTCACCACCTGGGGGCGGCCCGTCAGGAAGTCCAGAATCCATTTGCAGAGGGAGGTGTTCAGTCCCAGGGTCCTGAGCTTAGTGGTGAGCTTGGAGGGCATTATGGTGTTGAACGCTGAGCTGTAGTCAATGAACAGCATTCTCAGATAGGTGTTCCTCTTATCAAGGTGGGAGATTGCAGTGTGGAGTGCAATAGAGATTGTGTCATCTGTGGATCTGTTGGGGTGGTATGCGAATTGGAGTGGGTCCAGGGTGTCTGGGATGATGGTGTTGAGCCTTTCAAAGCATTTCATGACCAGCCTTTCAAAGCATTTCATGGCTACAGATGTGCGTGCTACGGGGCGATAGTCATTTATCAAATCAAATCAAATCAAATTGTATTTGCCACATGCGCCGAATACAACAGGTGTAGACATTACCGTGAAATGCTTACTTACAGCCCTTAACCAACAATGCATTTATTTTTTAATAAAAATGTAAAATAAAACAACAACAAAAAAGTGTTGAGAAAAAAAGAGTAGAAGTCAAATAAAATAACAGTAGGGATGCCACACACGGGGGTACCGGTGCAGAGTCAATGTGCGGGGGCACCGGCCAGTCGAGGCAGCTGAGGCAATATGCACATGTGGGCAGAGCCAAAGCGACCATGCGTAAACAATTAACAGAGTAGCAGCAGCGCAAAAAGATTTAGACCGATAACATTGGCGTTCTTGGGCACAGGGACTATGGCAGTCTGCTTGAAACATGTAGGAATTACAGACAGGGTCAGGGAGAGGTTGAAAATGCCAGTGAAGACACTTGCCAGCTGATCAGCGCATGCTCTAGGTACGTGTCCTGGTAAACCATTTGGCCCCGCAGCAAACTCCTCAATGTTATGGGATGAATCCCGGAACATATTCCAGTCTGTGCCAGCGAAACAGTCGTGTAGCTTAGCATCCGCTTCATCTGACCACTTCCATAATGAGCGCATCACTTGTACTTCCTGTTTTAGTTTTTGCTTGTAAGCAGGAATCAGGAGGATGGAGTTATTGTCAGATTTGCCAAAAGGAGGACGAGGGAGAGCTTTGTATGCGTTTCTGTGTGTGGGGTAAAGGTTACATGCTGGTAAAAATGAGGTAACCCCCCCCCCCCAACACCACCACCACAACCACACTGCTCTGGCCTAGGCTGCAGCTGCTTACTATCAAATGTTGGCACTGCCTCCTTTCCCCAAAAAATTGGTTCTGCTGAAAGATCTGCAAATCAGCATCGGTGCCTATTGAAGCCCTGCTTGAAAGCAATGGAAATGCATTTGAACTGCAAAGCTGGGGCTGTGTGCCCACGTTTCCCCCCTGTCTTTTGATATCACATTTGATTGTGTCTGTCCTTTCCTCGCTCTTCCAGAGGAAGAAACAGCAGGCAGTGCGGAGTGAATTAAAATCCCTTTACAGAGCTCTGAGTTTTGGTGTGCATCCCAAATGACGCCCTATTCCCTATATAGTGCGCAACTTTTTAACAGGGCCCTGGTCAAAATTAGTGCACAATACAAGGAACAGGATGCCATTTGGGAAGTAGCCCTGGTGTGATTAATGTTGCCCAATTCCTTGTGGAAGTTCAGATGAAGGCGTTCTATACATCCATGACTAAAGAGTGAAAATGTTTCTACACATCAGTTAAACTTGTTAAGGGTATAGACTGATTATGGAAACAGTTTATCAGCTATTCATCCTTGAACGAAAGGATTAGCGAGGCATCTTCAGATTCTGAAGACGCACGAACGCACACACACACACGCACTCGACATGCACGCACATACACACACCAGGGTTTCCATTAGGAAAATGTGGAGCTGGACAATCTGACCTGGAAGATTTTAATTTACCGGCCATTTGAGAAATATACCGGACCCATATGCATTGGGTGCGTAACTCGTTAGGGCGTCCACCCACGGTGCTCAGGATGACAGAAATCACATTTAGATTATGGTAATCGATCTTAACAGAACATGCAACTCATGTAATGAAGCAGACAATAAAACGTTTTATTAAATAACGGCCGAAATGTAATTAGCGGGAAAACACCATTCTAAACAGTGCACCTGGGAAAACACCATTCTGAACAGCACACCTGATAGCGGTTACTAATATGACTAGGATTGTGCGTTTGGCTCCTGGACAACGAAAGAAAGTTGATATGAAAACCAATGGAACAGGAGATGAATGGCATAGCGGTGTGTCCAATAGGGAAGTAAGTGCAAATAAATGTGCCCAAATTATATAATTACTCCTGTCTATACACAAGCTCGTAGGTCTATGCCTATTTGGGAAACCCATAATTTGGGCAGCGTGTGTGGCAGTAGGGCTAGCTGATTATTGAGTTGCAGCTGTCAGTGAAAAGCATCTCAAATATGTGTGAAGATAATGTGTCTTGAGCATAATTTAAAATGTTGAGACAAGAAAAAGTATGTAAGATATAGATATAGACGAGATTTGTTAATTCGTTCATTGTCTTTTCTTTGGAGTGGTCCACATGAGCAATGAGCATGTGTCTAGTTTCTCTGTCCTGATAATGTTGAGGGAGCGCGCGCGCCTGAGCACGCATAGACGTACCTTGCCTTCTGCGCGGAAATGTAGGAAAGTGTTTTTTTAACATCGACTGCTAATGATAATATAGTAAAACTATAGTTCCTCACTATTGGAAAAATCATTCTAACAATCTCCCCCTTGATAATTGCCAAACCTCGGTGTGAAAGAGCAATTGAAGTTATAGGCCTATTGCTGCATTGGCCTATAGGCTATGAGTTCCATGCGCTAATTTCTTTAGCTGCCATATGGCAGAGGCTGGTGATCTTGAGTTGACTTTAAACTTTTAGATTTGTATAATTTTAATTCAGATTTTTATGTTTAACCACGTGACAATGATTTTGCGAAACGAAAACGTTATTATTGAAATGAAACTGCTCCGAACGTGGTCCTCTGTAGCTCAGCTGGTAGAGCACGGCGCTTGTAACGCCAAGGTAGTGGGTTCGATCCCCGGGACCACCCATACACAAAAAATGTATGCACGCATGACTGTAAGTCGCTTTGGATAAAAGCGTCTGCTAAATGGTATATTATTATTAAAAGGCGCATAGGAAAAAAAGATACAACGCATAAGAAATATGTTTTGTAAACACATTTGAAATGCTTCTTATTGTAATTTTTGCTCGGCATCAGACTAATTTCCTCTCAGATGAGAATTCACAAACTGACATTTATTTTATCAGCAGACAAAGCTCTGACTGATGTGTAGTTCCTTTTTGGTGTAGCCATCCTAATTACCTTCAGAAGTCCTAGTCATATTTAAGAAAAACATTAGGAAATGTGGCTGGCTACATTCTTTCTATGATAAACAGAAATATGATGTCCATGCATAGTTTTTTCAAAAAAGACTGTGCGTTTTCATTGTAAGCTCAATTAACCTACTTGTGTGGCTGACAGCCAAATAGCGTTGCACTTCTGTTGTTTTCTGATGAAAATGAAGCTATTTTCTGCCAAATGTATTACACTAATGTATTTTCTGTGAATGAAAACTGTAGTTACAGTAGATGTCCCTGATCACTCAGTTGAAGCAAAAAAAACACACTGTTGATTTTCAATATAAAACGCGACCCCTGTCAATACACAGCTGGACTCACCTGCTCCCGCTTTCTCCAGTTGTGCTATTTACAAACAAACACGTGACTGGCTCAACTGTTCGGGGGAACTACGGTAAGCATCATGATGTAAAATAGACAGGTGAAATGAAGAATGCAATCTGCTTCATCTTCTAACATATTGCACAAATTGACTGCAGGTCTTTACTTAAAAAGTAGCTACCAATTTTAAAATGTATAGAAAAACTTCAAATAAATAGTTTCAACAATATTGATGGTATTGAAAAACCATCCCCTGGCTATTTCGAAATACCCTGGTGTACCCTGGTGTACGGTATATAGGGTATACTGTCCAAGCCTACCAAGGTCTGATTTAGGATCATACTGTCTGTCTGAAAAGGAGGTACTGTTATAGTTATACTAGAGCTGTGACCTGTGGGTCTACAACCCACTGCTCCATTACTATAAAACCAGGGCTGCATTTATCACTGGGTGAAAATAATCAGCTCCCTTCCTCTCTCTCTCCCGGAGCAGAGATGTGTCCTGCTGCAGCCGCACAGCCACACAGGCCTAATTGCTTGCCTTTTTGTTCCCAGTTCCTGTGAAATGAGGACAGCAGCTGGGGAGAAGAGAGCCTGTGTCCTTTTCTCTTTCCTCAGGAAAAGGGTTTAACCAACAGCCCAGAGAAACAATGACAGGCCTGGCCAGATTCTCAGATGTCTCTTTTCGGAGGCTCTGCTAATAGTTATGGTCTCGTGGTGTGGGTGGGTGGGTTTTTGCAGCGTTGGCAGTTTCAGTGCTGCATTGAACGTCACAATGAATAGGCTACTTTGTCACAGAGTGTTGGAACTCCCTCCCTATCTATATCTATATCTATATCTATATCTATATCTATATCTATCTGTCTGTCTGTCTGTCTGTCTGTCTGTCTGTCTGTCTGTCTGTCTGTCTGTCTGTCTGTCTGTCTGTCTGTCTGTCTGTCTGTCTGTCTGTCTGTCTGTCTGTCTGTCTGTGTCTACCAGGCAACACACAACTAGCCCTGAGCTCCTGTCACGGTAAACAGCTGACTTTATTTTAATAATCAGGGGAAATAAGTGATTTTACGAGCAGATGAATATTTTATCAGGGATTACAGGGGCTTGGAGATGCCTGCTCAGCATTTTTGCCGAACCAAGGGAGGTGGAGTACAGTACTATAGACAGAGAGCCTTGTGAATAGAGCCTTGTTGCTTGGATGGCTAGGGAGCAGGGAGAGTGTGTGTGTGAGCCTGGTCGTGCTTAAGGAGGGGATTAAGCATCTCTGGCCACTCTAAGGGATTAGGAGAGGATAGAGGTGCCTGGTCCCTAGGCCTCTCATCCACAAACACCAATTACACAGCGAGGAGCTGCTGCTCTAACAACCAGATAGGTCACTCAACCGGAACTGTTACAGAATGAGGGCTGTGCTGAGACAGGACATAGGCCATCCCAGAAGGCAAGGAGAACATGTTTCATCACATTGAGTTTCTAATGTGGTTAGAGAGTCACCCACAGGCCTATTGTTTCCTCTATCTAGTCTCTCTGAGACCATTAATCACTTTTCATAGCAACAGAAAGTTCAGTTTAATCGTTCTATTATTACTAGTGACCTCTTGATTATTGAACTGACCCCAATGTGGTTTAATTGGGGGATTTGCTCATCTCATTCAACTTACTTTCCCATTCCTCTTGATTACAAAACTGTAAAAGTCATTTCTAAACCGTGATCAGATGGACAATGCTTAATCAGATATTTTCAAATGCAGAAGTCTGAAAACCTACTTTCATAGTATAATATTAGACACATCCATTTTCTGCCTAACTTCTTCTTCGCAGCAAGCATCCTTCCTCAAATGGTGAGACATCTTGGGCCAGCTGAGTTGACCTGCTATAGCATCTTGCCAGAGTCTTACAGTATGTTAGCTGTGTCCATTGTGGTGTTGTGCTGTGGGGGTAAGTGGGGGAATAATGGTAGCAACACTCTGGAGCAGACATATATCAGCTTCTTAGAGGTGATTAGCAGTGCGGAAGCTCTCTGTAGAGGGGAGCCTTTGATGTCAGCGCTCATCATTTTTCTCTGAAGCAAGTGCATGTGCAGTTTTCACCTCGGCTCAGTGAAACCCTCTGCTGCTATCAATGTGTGTGTGTGTGGGGGGGCATTGTGTTCGTGTGTGTGACTGTGTGTGTGTGAACATACACTGGAGGGGGATGCAGTAAAAGCTGATTAGGCTTCAGTCAGAGTCCATGCCTGTCAGGGTCATTATGGTAACCAGCGTTAAGGATTTAAGCAATCAATGCTGTGTCAGACTGGAGCGCTGCGAGGAGAAACGATTGGCGTCTGTTCTAGGATAGTGCCATCACTGTAGAGCAGGGGTGTCAAACTCATTCCATAGAGGGCCTTGTGTCTTTTTTTCTTTCAATTAAGACCAGGTGAGGGGAGTTCTTTACTAATTAGTGACCTTAATTAATCAATCAAGTACAAGGGAGGAGCGAAAACCCGCAGACACTCGGCCCTCCATGGAATGAGTTTGACACGTGCCATAGAGAGAGGGAGAGAGGGAGGGAGGGAGGGAGGGAGGGAGGGAGGGAGGGAGGGCGGGAGAGAGAGATGGGTGAAAGGGTGAGAGCGATAAGGAGGGAATGAAATGAAAGAGGGAGAGAGACAGAGAGAGAGGCAGAGAAAGAGAAAGGGGGAATGAGGTAGGGAGAGGGAGAGAGAGAGAGAGAGAGAGAGGCAGAGAAAGCGAGAGTGTGGTGTGATGTCTGATGTCAGTGTGGTTAAGTCTCTGCAGTCAGCCAACAGTGGGATCATGCAGCAGCTGTATTATTTACTGGGAAAAGGAATCAGTCTCAGAAGCCCTCATGTTGTACTCCAACAAAAGCTGTTAAATACACAAACACAATGCCTGTGTATGTGTTGTGTTGTCTGTTTGTGTGTTGTATACCCAGCGCAACCCTGGGTAATATAGGCTGCTCACTCATATTCACTGGGGTGGGCTATGCTCAACTTAATGGCAAGTCATCAACCTGTCAGTCTGTCTGGTGCACAAAATGAAAATAAATGATTAGGGTGAAGTCGAAGGCTTTTTCTGTGGGAGTTCAGATATTTGTTCTGACCATCACTTTGTCTGTTTATACTCCTATGTGTTGAGCCTGTTGAATAGACAGCCTAATCAGATAGTAGACCTTTGAAATATTGAAATGATGAAAGCAGAGACAAACCACAGGTATGTACAGTATGTTACAGTAACACTTTGCTGATCACTCTAACGTCACCTCCTCTCTGTGTTGTTGTGTTCAGGAAGGACCAGCACCTGCTGTCCAGTGTGAACTGCTGGTACCTGGTACTGAACCAGACCAGGAGGGAGAGCAGGGACCACGCCACCCTCAACGACATCTACACCAACAATGTCATTGTCCGCCTTGCCCAGATCAGCGAGGACGTCATCCGCCTCTTCAAGAAGGTCTGTCTGTCTGTCATCCTACTGTCCGTCCGCCTGTCCTCTCCTTATCACCTGTGTTCAGAGTTGAAGATACAAGTGAGCACTAGCTTTTATCGTTCACTTGCTGAGCAGTAATGGGCAGGATGTCGATTGGCCTTTCTCTAAGATCGTTATCATACACAAATAACACCAGACCTCATTGCTCTTTTGCTTAAGGTTACGACCACATTCAAACCAGTTTTCACCTGGGCCTTTGAAATGAGTCTGAAAGAAAGCAATTTGCCTCCATCCTTTCCATATTCTTTAGTATACAGATTGATGGTTCTGTGAGACTATGTGAGCAGTGATGTGTTTTGAGCGGCTACATTATCAACTGACCCGAATGCCAGCACATTGGATTTGTATAGCTCCGTCGGGCATAAATAAGTTCCATGTGGCATGTGGAGTAGTAGTGCAGTAGCAGGGTTGAGGTAGAGCAGGGTACAGCAGGGTAGGGTACCCCCCTGGCCCCCTAACCCCCCATAGGCCCCTGCTGGTGTGAGCAGGGTCTGGCCCAGTGTCAGCACATAGCAGAGATGACTGAGGTCTAACCCAAACACCAGACCCCTGTTTACACCTGGCAGGCCTTCCTGGAGGTGAGTCCCAACCCGCGTTACCAGCCTCCATTGACACACCACTATGTGTGTGTGTGTGTGTGTCAGCAGGAATGTGAATGGGGGAAACAAGCAACACATGCTTTAGAGAGCGCCAGCCAGGGCTGAAAACAGAACAACACAGCCTCCTGTTAGTCAGTAAATTGCCCTCAAGTAGCTTTTCCTCTAGCTGGTAATATGAATGGAGCTACGCGTGCTTGCTGGCAGGCCTCGCAGTGACAATGGATAACATGTCAAAGAAATATGCTGCCTAGCTTTGTAGCTGTCAAGTAAATGAATGGAAGAGAGAGCTGAATAGGCTACAAGTCGATCAAGCAGCCCCGATGATGAAAGAAAGACCCGATGATGCCCAAGATTTCTGATATCCAGATAGTCATAAATGAATACTCCATAAATAGGGCCATGAGTTTTTCCTGACCATGTGATCTGACCTTTGACCTGACCAGGAATAACTCTGGGCCTTTTCTAGACTGGATCTGTTCTGGGAAAAAGACACAGGTCTTGGTTGTAGTATTTCTCTCCTCAGTGAGGTGTTCTCTGTTGGAGGTTTAGTAGCCTCTGAGTCTGGTTTATTTTGTCAGCCAATCAAAGCTGCTCTACAGTCAGAGGTTCCATGTCTAGAAGAGACATTTCTAATCAATGCAAAATGGAATAAAAATTACGGAATTAAAAGTTCGCTAAATGAGAAGGAGTGGGCTACAACAAGGTTGTTGTTCTTAATCATGGTGTTATTTGTTTACAAGGACGGGGAGCGCAGCATATTGTAGCCTAAATTAGCTAGTTAGCTAGCTGGCTAGCTTAGCTATCTTCTCTACATCGATTTGATGCAGTCAAGACAGGCACTGTCATGGGATGATAAGAGAACAAGCAGCTAACGTTACAAGTTTGTCTGACTAGCGTGAGCCATCGTGGCTACTTTCTAGTCTCACTCTCCATCTCACAAATCTATACACACCGGCCCCTCCTCCGCCCGCTGCTGTAGCAGCAGCAGAGCGGAACAGTCTAAAAAAAAAAAAAAACACGTATTTCGACTATACGGATATTCGAAAAAAAAATCCTAATATTATTTGAATAATGAAATTATTTCAAATGGCCATACCTAACAGTGGCCCACCACTGCTAAATTGTTGCCACTGCTGCAAAAAATATGATGTTATTAAAAATGATGACCTGGCCTCCAAAAGTGTGCAAAGCTGTCATCAATGCAAAGGGTGGCTATTTGAAGAATCTCAAATATAAAATATATTTTGATTTGTTTAACACTTTTTTGGTTACTACATGATTCCATATGTGTTATTTCATAGTTTTGATGTTTTCACTATTATTCTACAATGTAGACAATAGTAAAAATAAAGAACAACCCTTGAATGAGTAGGTGTAACTTTTGACCGGTAGTGTATATATATTTCTGCCGAAACATGCTTTTATGGTCGTTGACTCAATGAATGGAAGTCTGTGGGAACAGCTAGCATGTCCCCCCTGCTACATTTGCCACCACTGCAGGAAAAAATGCTAGGGGAAACACTGTGATTTTCTAGGTCGGTGCTTCCGAACCAGGGGTACTATGACCCCTGGGGGTACTTGGCCTATCCACAAGGGGACTTGAGAAGACTCATGAGACCATAGACCTACTGGTAAAATGCACGAGGGAGTACTTCAGGGGTACTCCAGCAGAGCAAAATTCAGTTGGTGGTACAGTAACAGAAAAAGGTTGGGAACCACTGGTCTAGGTTGCCTGTCTGGTATGGTAATGACTGGTTTCTCACACCCGTGGGAACATTATCAAGGTCTCACAATCTTTTTAATAAAGACATATTTTATGCTTTTACAGGTAGTTAGCTACCATTTTCAGGTAGTTATTGGTGTTTAAGGTACCCATGTCGAGCCAATTGCTCAGTCGAGAACTGCAAGATCTTGGTGAGGTGCACAGTTCAAAATTCGGTCATGAAAAATAGAACAAACAATGCAATCAGGCTCCACTGTGTTCATTTTTTCTCTATTTTTAGAGAGAAGAGAGAATTTCATGAATTTATTATTTTTGACTCGACAGCCAGAGCAGTTTTAGGCCAGCGCTATCTGACTTGACACATCCATATTCTTACTTTTCCACTCTCTGCTCCCTCAGTGCCTCTGCAGTACATTCTCTCTCTGCAGTATGTCTGACATCAGAGCCACCCATGCATACAAATGCCATTCACCAGTTGCCAGGAGGCTTTCACATATTCCTCACACAAAGAGCTTCCCACTTATCATGTTCAGGCCAAGGCACTTTCATATCTGATTTAACATGACATATTTCCTGTCCTCTCTGGGAGTTTTGAATGTAAAATAAAAGAATTTGGCTACCTCTCCCTCTCTCTCCCTCTCTGTCTCTCTCTCTCTCTGCCTCTCTCTCTCTGTCTCGCTATCTTTGCTCAGTATAGTTTAAAGGGCGGACCACAGAGGGACGCACAACCATTGTCCAATCAAAGAAAGCTCAGAAAATTCCATCTCAGCTGGCCCCTCCTCCTGTTGCTATGAGCCCCTCCCTCCGTGATTGATTCCACATTCCAATTTTGACTCATCAGCCTGCGTATGTTAGGGCTTGGTTTTTATGGTTATAGCTTCAACCTGTTTGGCGTAACCCATACAAAAATAGATGATGTGCGGTCAAGTATGAAAAGGGTGTGTGTGTGCCTTCAGGCAAGCTTACTTGCATCTACCTGTATCTCTCTCTCTCTCGCTCTCTCTCTGTGTGTGTGTGTGTTTGTGTGTGTGTGTTTGTGTGTGTGTGTGTGTGTGTGTGTGCGCGCGTGCGTGCGTGCATGTGTGTGCATGTTTAGAGAATAGCCCTGGTGCTTGGCTCTGTGCTATAGAGTCAGAGTGTAGCAGTGCTGCTGGCTCTATCGATCCCACAGTATTACCCTCCATTATGATTTATGTCCAGGGAGGGCCACCATAGCAGGCAGAACCATAAATCCTAGCAGACATGGAGGTATAGGGACCATATATCAGATTCAGTATACACAGAGCTAGGGCCTGGAACAGTAGGGACTCTTAGACAGCGTAGGCTTTGGGTACACTGTGGGAATGTGAAACGTCCTTTATGTGTGTGTGGGTAGTATGAAAGATACTGTTAACAGTGAGATATAGTTTGAGAGTGTAATTACTCAAGGTATGTGTTCTAGAAAAAACTTTTGTGAAAAGGTTAGTCAGAGTTGTACTTCTGTGAAGTTAGTAAAGGTGTTATTTCCTTTGTGTCCCTACTTCATTTTCTGTGAAAACACAGTAATGTGTTGTGTGGGTGGATTCACACACCCATGCAGTCTCAATCTAGGAACAGTTTGCTTTCTGTGGCGCGTACCGCTGTGCTAGCAAGTACTTTCTCTCACTGAGCTCCCACAATACCAGGTGTGTTCCCCACTCTCGTCATCACTAGATAGGTTGTGTGGGATGGGTGTAAATGCTGCAGTGTATTTGTCATCTGTAAAACACATTACTCATAGTCCTCCTCCATCTTGAAGGCTGATAGGAAAACTGAATGTCACTGAAAAGTCAAGCTTCCATCAGTTACAGCTTCTTTCTCAAGGCTCCTTTTGAAAAACAACACCGTACATGACATGACAAAATGACAATCTGGACATTGGTTGACAACAGGGAAAAGATGAAACGGCTGATTGTGCCTTTTCTCAGTTTGAGTCATTACTGATATTATCTACTTAAGAAATGGAAAGACATCCATGAACTGCATGATTGTGTGTGACCACATCATATAGGCTAGTAAGTGGTAACACTATAAATGCTGATGTTGATGGTTCAGCCATTTTGGGAGGGTGTTGTCCCAATGCACTCGGTGCAGATCAGAGGTGGCAGGTAATAAGGAGAGGGATGTGACATTTACCCACCAAGCACCACAACTAAACAGCAGCTTTAACAGTCAGCAGCACAACATCTGTAGCTTAACATAGCCCACATGTAAAAATCACAGGAAGAGGCAGTGCAGGGTGGAACATGAAACCACACGTACTCCAGCCCTCTTCAGTCAGAGAGGGAGAGAGGCCAGATGGGAAGTTCATTCACTAGTCTAGTGGTTGATTGTGTTCCACTGGCTGGTCTGGCAGGCAGTCTCTCTTTTAGAATAATGTATGTTTCTGTCCATCCATCACATGTATGTTTATACTGTTGGTCACTGCACTGTATGTGCACCTTCTTAAACTGCTGTCAAGATTCAAACAATCCAGACAGTCTCATCACCACCAACACACTGAAAAACCATTGCCTGTCAGTTTGTTGATACAGGATATTCATCACTATTTTGGCTATTTGTTGATGCACTGTATCCACTTGGATCATAGAAGTGAATTGATTGATGTGCATTGTCCCTAACTGCTTTCCAACACCTTGTTTTTCAGAGCAAGGACATTGGGATTCAGATGCACGAGGAGCTGGTGAAAGTGACAAACGAACTCTACACTGTGAGTACAACAAAACCCATCTTCTCCTCCCCTGTCAGAATCGATTCCATCTCTCCTCTTGTTGCATCTCTACATCCAGACACAACCAGTATCAGGGCCTCTCTCTCTCTCTCTCTCTCTCTCTCTCTCTCTCTCTCTCTCTCTGTCTCTGTCTCTGTCTCTGTCTCTGTCTCTGTCTCTGTCTCTGTCTCTGTCTCTGTCTCTCTCTCTGTCTGTCTGTCTGTCTGTCTGTCTGTCTGTCTGTCTGTCTGTCTGTCTGTCTGTCTGTCTGTCTGTCTGTCTGTCTGTCTGTCTGTCTGTCTGTCTGTCTGTCTGTCTGTCTGTCTGTCTGTCTGTCTGTCTGTCTGTCTGTCTGTCTGTCTGTCTGTCTGTCTGTCTGTCTGTCTGTCTGTCTGTCTGTCTCTCTCTCTCTCTCTCTCTCCTCTCTCTCTCTCTCTCTCTCTCTCTCTCTCTCTCCTCTCTCTCTCTCTCTCTCTCTCTCTCTCTCTCTCTCTCTCTCTCTCTCTCTCTCTCTCTCTCTTCTTTTTATAACCCCCTCTCTCTCTTTCTCTCTCCAACTGCAGTGTTGAGCTCAGATGTAGAGGATGATAAGGAGGAGGAGGTGGGCGATTGTTATGATGATAGAATGGAACGTTGCATTTCTCTCCAAGTGGGCCAGTTGCAGGCTGCAGCTCAAATCACTTCCACATTGCAGGATGTTCTGGTGCCAGTGGCTGGGCCCACGGTAACAGGAATGCAAAACACCATTCGCTCAACCATCGGGTCTACTGTATCTATGTGTCCGTCAGGGCTTCTCTCTATGCCTTATTAACTCTTCTGTAAACTTTCCTTTGTGACCAGGGAGAAATGAAGGGCACACTGTGTGACACTGTGCTTATGCCCCCCTGTCGCGTTGTGAAGCTCATACTAAAGGAGACACTGTGCCCATGTCTGGAGAAGCTCCAGGCAACTTCAGCAGTCCTCTAGCTCCCCCAAGGAGAGCAGACTTCGATTACTTATTCATCTGATGTCACGAGTGACAGGCTATCAAAGGACATGGCTGATCAGGCCATCTGTCCACCACGACACTGTAAAAAGGGGTTATAGGGAGTTAGAATAGAGGTTCTATCGCCTTTTAAAGAGAAAGATCATCAACCCAGTGTTGTGCTGCATTAAAGGCAAGGACATGAGAGCTCACGGCTCATCAGCAGCACCTCTGTCTGCCCTCGAGTCTGCCAGGCTTTCCCCACCAGGTTCATGAATGAGACAGAGATTGTTTTTCCTCTTAAGCGGCTGGTGTCCTAAACCCTACCCTGTGTGGGGTACGGCCCAGGGGGCTCGCTCCAGCAGCAGTGTGCATTTCAAGGTCACAGCCAGAGGAGTCCAAATGCATCAGGGTGCAGACAAGATAATTATTCTGCTGCTCCACCTGCTCTTCAACAGCTAGGGCCAGGCATGGCTTGGTTAAATATGTGGGCTGCTATCAGATTGAATGGCCAGGATAATGTTTTATGATAATGGAGAGAGGCTCTTAAATTGTCCCTCTCTTCTTCAAGCCCCATTTGCCTCCTGTGGTGCCCCATTTCATTTTTGCCCCATCTCAAAAATCGAACTAATCAGAATCAGAAACCCACAGCAGTGACTTTTTTCCAGAAAGACTCTGATGGTGATGATAATGATGATTGAGGATTGTTATAATTAGTCATTGAATAAAATGGCAGTTAAAAAACACGGGAACAGTTGAAGCTTTTAGCTCACTGGTAATCAGATGACAGATCTTATGGACTGCAAACAACAATGCATTTTGCCAGAGGTAGAATTGCAGAAATCCCTTGTGAATCCCTTTCACATTCACTAACACAGAGGGGAGAGATTTAAGTGTGTTGGGCTGAAGCCATTGTTCAAACATTATTTAAAGTATCTGCTGCTGGTGCTACTGAGACAGCTATTGATTTGATGGCGTGATGCTTGATGCCTGTGGCTTGAATTATATGTAGTGAACCTGAAATTAGAAATGAGAGCGAAGACCAGCAATTTCTTCAGTGGATCACAGAATCAATTATTCACCTGGCTGCTCTGATCCATTTAATCAACATAAATATATATTTAAAGTTTTTTGAATTATCCTGACAGTACAGGAGCAAAAAGTCCTGTTGCAGTTCACTTGGTTCATTTGTTATTAATCTCTGCCACACTAGAGGCTGTTTGTTTAATGAATGCAGAAGCATGCTGCCCTGGTATTAAGTTTGTTGCAATAAATTATGGAAATTATGGAGATGTTCTGCTCTCTGTAATGATGGAGATGTTCTGCTCTCTGTTTCCACCCTGGGTCTGAGATGGGCAGTATAGTCTGATAATGACTGTCCCGGTGAAGTGACTCACAACAGGTCTGGTTTCTCCATCTCTCTCCAGTTTCATTCCGGGGTGCTCCTCTGACTGTCATTGTAATTGTGTTAGCCATAATGGCCATGTTTATTTTGACAGGTCTTTTGGCACAACACGTTCATATTTTTCCAATTGACAAACTACAGGAAACCAATTTGGTTTGAATACACAGGCTCATAGAACACAGAATCAAATATCAAAGTGGCATATTTGACACAACATATTAGGTTGGGTTGGTTGAGGTCTCAGCATTAATATCAATGCTGCAACCACGGTTCACTTTAAGTGGAAATCACGTCTGTCTGTATTGCCACAATGAAATATGTTCATTGTAGCTTTCGTCAGTGCAGAAACAGAGAACAGCCTCAGGTTATTGTTTCAGTGGAGACAGTAACCACATGCACACACCTCCCGGAAGGTAGACCCTGCCTCACCTCAATGTTCTGCAAATTACTTTCTGTCTTTTGCTGCAGGTCTTTTAGTTGTGCTGCTCAAAGTTCCCTGGAAACCCTGTTTTCTTTTCACGCTGTTGGATAAATGGGTTGCCAGCCTAGGGAGATGCACACTGCTAGCCCTAGTTTCCCCAAACACTGAAGTGACTTCTTTGTACTGTGTGCTCTGTCATATACTAGAATAGACAAGAGTTTGTTTTTGCTTTACGTTTTTTCTTTGAAGTGTTTGCCTTTCAGATGTTTGTCAGGTTTTTTTTACTCTCCTAAGACTTGTAGCGCCTTGTGCAGTGGAGTTCTGTTAATGAAAGCAACTGGCTGGATGATAAAAATAAGCTGTTTTTCAGACTAAGAAACCTTAATATCATACAGTAGCAGTCAACTGGAAATAGTCGAGGTTCCGGTTGACGTAACCCTAACCCATGTTCTTATAACCTTCTTTTTCCAGATTAAAGGGAGTCATACCATCCGGTCAGATGATACTATACAAAGTGAGCATTTACTACAGGAAGAGAACAAGCTAGCGTTAATGTCAGGCTCTCAGTCTGTCTAACATCTAGTTCTAGTACTGGGTCTTGCTCACTGCCGAGTTACACGCCCAGGAGGCGTTTTAAGACGCTGCACACATCTGTGCTGTACTTTACAAGGCTGCTCAATGAGCTGCTAAGACCTCCTGAGGCCAGACCACATAATAGTGGGCCTAACCCTCAGACAGACAGACAGACAGCAGAGTGGGTCTAACCCTCACAGACAGACAGCAGAGTGGGTCTAACATTTAGACAGACAGAAAGACAGCCGAATGGGTTTACATCTCAGACAGAATGACAGCAGAGTGGGTCTAACCCACAGACAGCAGAGTGGATCTAACCCACAGACAGACAGACAGACAGACAGACAGACAGACAGACAGACAGACAGACAGACAGAACGGTGGGTCAGAAGGGAGGAGGGGTGTATCTCTTTGTTAACAAAAGCTGGTGCGCGATCTCTAATGTTAAGGAAGTCTCTGGTTTTTGCTCGCTTGAGTTACCTCATGATAAGCTGCATACTATAATATTTACCAAGAGTATTCATCTATATTTTTTGTAGCTGTCTATTTACCATCACCCGATGCTGGCACCAAGACCGCACTCAACGAGTTGTATAGGGCCATAAACAAACAAGAAAATACTTGTTGCCGGTGATTTTAATGCATTTTTACCAGCATGTCACCTGTGCAACTAGAGGTGACAAAACTTTAAATCGCTTTTACTCCACACACAGCAACGCGGTCAAGGCCCTCTCTCTCCCTCCCTTTGACAAATCAGACCATAACTCTATCCCCCTGCTTTCTGCTTACAAGCAAAAACTCAAACAGGAAGTACCAGTACTGCGCTCAACACAGAAGTGGTCTGATGAAGCGGATGCTAAGCTACAAGACTGTTTAGCTAGCACGGACTGGAATATGTTCTGGGATTCATTCGAAAACATTGAGGAGTGTACCACATCAGTCACCGGCTTCATTAATAAGTGCATCGATGATGTCGTCCCCACAGTGACCGTACGTACAGTTGAAGTCGGAAGTTTACATACACTTAGGTTGGAGTCATTAAAACTCGTTTTTCAACCACAAATTTCTTGTTAACAAACTATAGTTTTGGCAAGTTGGTTAGGACATCTACTTTGTGCATGACACAAGTAATTTTTCCAATAATTGTTTACAGACAGATTATTTCACTTATAATTCACTGTATCACAATTCCAGTGGGTCAGAAGTTTACATACACTAAGTTGACTGTGCCTTTAAACAGCTTGGAAAATTCCAGAAAATGATGTCATGGCTTTAGAAGCTTCTGATGGGCTAATTGACATCATTTGAGTCAATTGGAGGTGTACCTGTGGATGTATTTCAAGGCCTACCTTCAAACTCAGTGCCTCTTTGCTTGACATCAAAAGAAATCAGCCAAGAAAAAAAAAAAGTCTGGTTCATCCTTGGGAGCGATTTCCAAATGCCTGAAGGTACCACGTTCATCTGTACAAACAATAGTACGCAAGTATAAACACCATGGGACCATGCAGCCATCATACCGCTCAGGAAGGAGACGCATTCTGTCTCCTAGAGATGAACGTACTTTGGTGCGAAAAGTGCAAATCAATCCCGGAACAACAGAAAATGACCTTGTGCAGATGCTGGAGGAAACAGGTACAAAAGTATCTATATCGACAGTAAAACAAGTCCTATATGGACATAACCTGAAAGGCCGCTCAGCAAGGAAGAAGCCACTGCTCCAAAACTGCCATAAAAAAGCCAGACTACGGTTTGCAACTGCACATGGGGACAAAGATTGTACTTTTTGGAGAAATGTCCTCTGGTCTGATGAAACAAAAATAGAACTGTTTGGCCATAATGACCATCGTTATGTTTGGAGGAAAAAGGGGGTAGCTTGCAAGCAGAAGAACACCATCCCAACCGTGAAGCACGGGGGTGGCAGCATCATGCTGTGGGGGTGCTTTGCTGCAGGAGGGACTGATGCACTTCACAAATTAGATGGCATCATGAGGAAGGAAATTATGTGGATATATTGAAGCAACATCTCAAGACATCGGTCAGGAAGTTAAAGCTTGGTCGCAAATGGGTCTTCCAAATGGACAATGACACCAAGCATACTTCCAAAGTTGTGGCAAAATGGCTTAAGGACAACAAAGACAATCCTATAGAAAATTTGTGGGCAGAACTGAAAAAGCGTGTGCGAGCAAGGAAGCCTACAAACCTGACTCAGTTACACCAGCTCTGTCAGGATGAATGGGCCAAAATTCACCCAACATATTGTGGGAAGCTTGTGGAAGGCTAGCTGAAACGTTTGACCCAAGTTAAACAATTTAAAGGCAATGCTACCAAATACTAATTGAGTGTATGTAAACTTCTGACCCACTGGGAATGTGATGAAAGAAATAAAAGCTGAAATAAATCATTCTCTCTACAATTATTCTGACATTTCACATTCTTAAAATAAAGTGGTGATCCTAACTGACCTAAAACAGGGAATTTTTTACTAGGATTAAATGTCAGGAATTGTGAAAAACTGAGTTTAAATGTATTGGGCTAAGGTGTATGTAAACTTCTGACTTCAACGGTACATACCCCAACCAGAAGCCATGAACTACAGGCAACATCTGCAGTGATCTAAAGGCTAGAGCTGCCACTTTCAAGGACCGAGACAATAGTCCGGACGCTTATAATAAATCCCGCTATGACCTCCAACTAGCCATCAAACAGGCAAAGCGTCAATATAGGACTAAGATCGAATCCTACTATGCCGGTTCTGACACTCGACGGATGTGGCAGGGCTTGCAAACTATCATGGATTACAAAGGTAAACCCAGCCGCGAGCTGCCCAGCAACGCGAGCCTACCAGACAAGCTAAATGCCTTCTATGCTCGCTTCGAGGCAAGCAACACTGAACCATGCATGAGAGCAACAGCTGTTCCAGACGACTGTGTGATCTCGCTCTTCATAGCCATTGTGAGTAAGACCTTTAAACAGGTTAACATTAGCAAGGCCACGGGGCCAGACGGAATACCAGGATGCATACTCAGAGCATGCGCTGACCGAACACCTCCCTCTGCAACTGGATCCTGGACTTCCTGACGGACCGCCCCCAGGCGGTGAGGGTAGGCAACAACCCATCTGCCACCATCAACACTGGGGACCCTCAGGGGTATGTGCTTAGTCCCCTCCTGTACTCCCTGTTCCCCCACGACTTTGTGGCCGTGCCACAACTTCAACACCATCATCAAGTTTGCTGACGACACAAAGATGGTAGGACTGATCACCGACAATGATGAGACAGCCTATAGGAAGGAGGTCAGAGACCTGGCAGTTTAGTACCAGGACAACAACCTCTCCCTCAATGTCAGCAAGACAAAGGAGCTGATTGTGGACTACAGTAAGCGGAGGGGCAAGCGCGCCCCCATCCACATCGATGGGGCTGTAGTGGAGTGGGTCAAGAGCTTCTAGTTCCTTGGTGTCCACATCACTAAGGAATTAACATGGTCCACACACACCCACACAGTTGTGAAGAGGGCAAGACAGCGCCTCTTCCCCCTCAGGAGATTGAAAAGATTTGGCATGGGCCCTCAGATCATCAAAAAGTTTTACAGCTGCACCATTGCGAGCACAATAATTTAGCTAGGACTGTCTGGGAGTGGTCTGAGAGCGGGACCTAATTAGTTTAGACTAATGGGAGGGATATGTAACCTTAAAACTAGCTGTTATTGGTAGAGGTTTTAAACTCTTTTTATTATTGGTCAATTAACTTATACCGCCTGGTGATGTCGCCAGGCAGGCCAAAACTCCACCCATGCAAAACTAACTGAAATTTCAGGCAGTCTTTTTAAACAGCTCTTACACTAAAATGGTATTATTATAATTTTCACAATTTCACAGTATTATTCCAACCTGTATTATTCTAAAACATGGAAAATCACGCTTTTAAGTGCAATGCCCCTTTAACAAACAGATTTAAGATTAGTCTATGTATTCAACTAGACAAGTTGTATTACCAGTGTTTTTGGTGGAAAGGGCTTTACTGTACATCCCATCCATTACAGTTATTTGTTTTTATTTGTGACAGAGGGAATAATGACTGTCGGACTGCAGAGAGATCACAGTAGGGAGGGGAAAGGCAGAGAGATCACAGTAGGGAGGGGAAAGGCAGAGAGATCACAGTAGGGAGGGGAAAGGCAGAGAGATCACAGTAGGGAGGGGAAAGGCAGAGAGATCACAGTAGGGAGGGGAAAGGCAGAGAGATCACAGTAGGGAGGGGAAAGGCAGAGTGCACAATGGTGTAACTATGCCACACAAATGGCATGAAATGAACAAGCATTAGGTGATGAACAGTTTATCCTGATTTACAAAGCCAGATCCAGGGGGAGAAGGGGGAGGAGAGGGGGTGTGGATGTGTCAAGTCTGGCCCAGATGAGATGAGCTATAGTACCATACACAGCCCTGGGCTCCCTGATTCAATCAGCCCTCCATTGAAAACATCAACTGTCTGTGTGTACGCTCACTGAGCTTAGGCCAACAAAGGAGCAAATAACAGTTTCCATATGTGTCAAAGTTGAAGAGAGTATATTATGCAGTTTCTCATTAAGTCGTTGGATCTCTGGATGCAGACTGGTCTGTGGATGTGAGATAAAGGAGCTGTGATGTCCTGTGCTTTGCCTGGCCCTGTTATGCATATTCATGGCCAGCTGTGGTCCTGATGAGAATACTGATGTGATCCTGTTCCCTGTCCTTGTCACTGGGCTGAGCCCCTGCCACCATGGATGAAACACAAGCCCCTCATGCAGTATTTTATGAAACAGACCCAGTCTCACTGCAAGTCATTATTTCAAAGGGAAATAGTTCAAAAGGTGTAAAATTTTTTGTTAGTTAGGGCACAGATTATAATGAAACGTGTCAAACTAGGTGTCACCTCAGATCACCCATTTACTTGCTCTGTCTACTGTTGTGAAGTCTATGAATCCTATGTCCAGTTATTGTTGCAACTTCCTCATCCTTCCTCTGTGCTGCTCCTGCTCCTCCAGGTGATGAAGACCTACCACATGTACCACACAGAGAGCATCAGCGCCGAGAGCAAGTTGAAGGATGCTGAGAAGCAGGAGGAGAAGCAGTTCAGTAAGTCTGGAGACCTCAATGTCAACCTGCTGCGCCACGAGGACCGGCCCCAGAGACGCAGCTCCGTCAGGAAGATCGAGAAGATGAAGGAGAAGGTGAGAGTGACACCAAGGCTTGTAGGGCTGTCCCCGACAAAAACAAATATTGGCCGACCAGTCGATTGGTCGACATTATTAAACGTGTATTTTTCAATATATAGACCCACCCTATGTTTGAATAAAATCGACTATATGTAGGCTACTGAGCATGTCTGATGCTTTAAGCACTGCGATTAAAAATAAAGACACACAAAGGGAGCCAGAGATCAATATAGCCTGACCAGAAGAAAAAAACCTGCTCCCGACCCTCTTCCTCCTGCTGTCCGCTGCTGCTGGCCTTCGCAGATTCTGCCTTTAAGCTCCTGAAGTTGCCGGTAATAGGTTACACCAGCGGTCGGCAACCTTTTCCATTTGGAGTGCCAAGTTATCGTAACATTTCTACTGATCTGCGTGCCAGTTATTATATTTTCATAGGCACATTTCGTGGAACAGTTTAATTTAATTTATAATAATATCTCAAATCAAATCAAATTGTAATGGTCACATACACATATTTAGCAGATGTTATTGCGGGTGTTGTGAAATGCTTGTGTTCCTAGCTCCAACAGTGCAGTAGTATCTAACAAAGTATCTAACAATTCACAACAATACACACAAAATCTATGTCGTGGTTAATCAAACCTCTATCTAAATGAAAATCATACAAATCTAAAAGTAACTTCTATTGCCATTGCCAATATGTAAAAATAGCCTATATAAAGCCAACAAATAAAAACATTGCAGCCCGCTGGTAGAAAATATCCGGATAAAAATAAATATCCTATAAATCACATTGGCTACGCATGGCCTGTCTGCAAGGAACTTAAAACATTGTATCAACTATTAACTTGGTCAGCCCGAAACTCGTGCTAGCAAACTTTCAACAATCTATAAAATATTCTGGGCCCTCAGAGTTTCCAGAGACAGTAAGCTCCAGACAAGGGATAGGAGGTAATCAGGTAGGCCTATTTTATGAAGTTTCCACCTGACCAGAGCACTATTTTTTCCCACCTTTCATGCTGAATGGTTATCGAAAAGGAGAGAGCTGGAAAGATTTTTCAAATAGGCTACGTTGAGGAACTATTGTCATTCTCAATGGATGTAACAACAGACTTCGTTTACTTACTGTTTGCGGTGAAGAAAAAATTACCATGAGAAGCTCCACAGTGATGGTGAGTTAAGACAATCAGAAATAGTATCAGATCCCCAAATGGGCACATTTATAGGTATCCATTTGCGCGCAGGCCAGGTAACCTAAGCCTAGTTCTATGCGTAATCAAGTGCGTGTCCTTACTCAAGATTGACAGGAGCACTCCAAACAAAATAAAATGAATAAATTGAGAACTCGTAAATGGAATTAAATAAACCACAATTTGTGTAGCCTAGGTTGTGCGCTCTCCAAACAACGTGTCCACTCCTATAATGACAACATTTAGACTGTAATAACAATATATTGAATGCATTAACAGAAATCACCGTAACCAAACAAACGTAGATTCGAAAAAATGATGGGAATTAACGGTAAATGTACTAGTGGTGATACTGGTGTGCCATCCCCAATGGATTAGTCCACTCAGACAGGCGTGAATCAGACAGGTGTCTCGTGTGCCATCATTTTTGTTATATATATTTGCCACTGCTCGACTAAACAATCGACCAGTCGACTAAATGGGGTCAGCCCTAAAGGCTTGATGACCATAGTATCTCTAACAGCTAGTGCTGTTGGCTGGGACTGCTGCTAGTACTGTACATTGTCAGCCTAGTTACTTCTGTAAGTGGTATTTTGTGCGGCAGCTAGAATCATGCTGGGTCCATTTTAGCTGGCTAAGGCCAGAGGGACCCTCTCAGTATTATGTGAATGAATAGGATAGTAAGGCTGTGTGAGAGTGGGTGCAGGTCCATTGTGTAAGCCGACCACTCTAGAGAGAGAGAGAGAGAAGAGAGAGAGAGGGAAGATGGTAGCTAGAGCAGAGAAGAGAGAGAGAGAGAGAGAGAGCAAGAGAGAGAGTGGAGAGAGAGGAGAGAGAGAGGAATAGCGATCTATAGATACGATCGATATGTACTATAGCGAGCTCGAGCTCGAGCTGCGCATTGCATCTATCTCGCTATCTAGTATCTATATATCTCTCTATCTATATATAGAGATAAAACTCCTATTATTGGGCAAGTACCATTTAAGCAAACTCAACGATTCTGCTTTCAAGTTCCATTACTTCTCCCCCTCTTTCCTCTCTCTCTTTCACTCTCTCTCTCTCTCTTTCTTCTCTCCTTCCCCCAGAGACAAGCCAAGTACTCAGAGAACAAGCTGAAGTGCACTAAAGCCCGCAACGACTATTTGTTGAACCTGGCAGCAACGAATGCCGTTGTGGCGAAATACTACATCCACGATGTCGCTGATATGATTGATGTAAGTATGCGATAGGCACACAGTTTTGATTGTATCTCTCAGCAGGATTGTCTAATGTTGGTCTAACATTGGTGGCTACACTAGATATTCTCACCACCTGTTTTAGTGTTCGCAGCCCATTTGCTGTATTGCATTGTTAGGATTCTTCTAGAATATAAATGATGACTTCCTGTCATGGAAATGGATCAGAGTTGACAGTCAGAATGCCTTCCTACTGCTCTTCTCTTCCCCCTGTTCTCCTCTCCTGTCTCTGTCATGCACTCATCTATCTGGGAGTGTTGTGAGGGCTGAGGCTCCTTTAGGGAGTTGTGCTGAGAGATGTGGAGCGGAGCATGTGTGTCTGCCTGTCACTGTCACAGTCACACACCCCACTCTCCTAGGGAGCCAAGCAAAACACACTGATGGTGAAACATGACCCTTGTTGACACATGCACACACTCACACGTGCATAGAAACTCCTCTGGTCCAATGTGCTTCCTACTTCTACAGGGCAGAGAGGAACCACAGCCACAGGAAAACTGGATTTACAGGATAGTGAAGGGAGAATCTCATCAGAATCTATTTAAAACAAAACACTTTCCTCTCTTACTTCATTCTTCAAATCTACAATAACATCAGGGTTTTCACCCTCTTCTGTTGGTCCGTATCTAATACATGTGTTCTGTTGAACAGAATACAACTTCCCCTTCAAAGTATTATTTGGATTATAGAAATAGAAATGGAGAGTTACATGACAGAAAATACCATATCTAGGTGAACCACCATCATAATTCAAAATGCAAAGCCAACACACCCCAGCAGCAAGCCTGCCTGCGAAGTCTGTGATTACGGTTGGTGAACGAGTTTGCTTTGTAGACCACTACTGGCTAGAGGGAGGAAACCCTAGCCTGGGTCTGGGTGCAGGCTGTGTGCATACAGGCAGCAGTGTGGCCAGTGTGGTTGGCAGGGATCATTCAGCCCCAGGTTACCTGGTGGTTCTTGCAGGGATCATTCAGCCTCGGGTTACCTGGTGGTTCTGGTGACTCTACCACCAGATGTGCCCCCTCCCCCCTCCCTCCCTGGTATTGCCCTAGGGCTGTCTGGCCAGCTCTAAAACTCTCCACTGATCAGGGAGTTGGATACAGAGATCCTGCATATTCAGAGTATGCATATGATGTGATTGAACTTAGAGGCTTGAGGCTGGCTAGATTTTAAACAGTTCTAAACATCAACACAGGGGTCCACCAGACAGGCTTTGTTGGAGCTGATTCCTGTGTCTGGCATGCGAAAGGGGCCATGTCATCCCAAATCCTGCCATCCTGCAGGGAAAGGGATTGTGAGCATGACTCGCTGTGCTGGGTCGTGCCGCCACGAGCTGGGCAGAGGAGAAGGGCCTGTTTGTCATGTCACACAGAAACAGTCACTATCAGCAAGACATCAAAACATACACTACCGTTCAAAAGTTTGGGGTCACTTAGAAATGTCCTTGTTTTCGAAAGAAAAGCATTTTTGTTGTCCATTAAAATAACATCAAATTGATCAGAAATACAGTGTAGACATTGTTAATGTTGTAAATGGCTATTGTAGCTGGAAATGGCTGATTTTTTATGGAATATCTACATAGGCATGCAGAGGCCCATTATCAGCAACCATCAGTCCTGTGTTCCAATGGCATGTTGTGTTTGCTAATCCAAGTTTATCATTTTAAAAGGCTAATTGATCATTAGAAAACCCTTTTGCAATTATGTTAGCACAGCTGAAAACTGTTGTGCTAGTGTACATCCACACTGCAAAAGTCAGCCCTGTCTATTAGAATAAATGGAAATAGAACGCAGATGTCTTTTGCATGTAAATAAACAATGTAATCAGTTCTTCAGTACCATTATTCTGCCTGTCAGCACTCCTGCTACAATCTACTCATGATTGAAGGGCCCTGATGAAATCAAGGCATGGGTCTCATTACAGCCTGCCAGTGTGTTTGTTATGGGATGTGGCTGTTGAAATACAACTCTGTACCATAAAGAGCTCTGTGCTGCCGTATCCTTCCTCATTGTACACTGACCCTGTTATAAAATAAATGCTGCTATGGGGATTTATCGTTGGAGCCGAGTGCAACTTCCTGTGCGTCTATTAAAGAGCGTTTAGTGAATCACAAAGCAGTCTGACTCAGGCCCCTCCAGCCTCTTAACAACCCACTCACCGCTCTGCTCTGCTTGGCTACAGTAATTAGGTTAGTTTATGCAGCTCCATGGTTGAGCTAATAGTCCTAGGTGTCCTGCTGTGCTTGCGCTTTTAATTCGGTCTATTCTATTATTCTATTTCTGCCTGTTAACCTGTAGCAGTGTCTAATTTGGAATTTAGTTCATGTTGAAAGGTCAGGTTAGTAACGTGCTTGTAGGAAATGAGAGGAATCGTTTAACTGAATCGTGGGAATGATAAAGACTGAGTTTATCACATTTACTTTTGTATAATGGATTCAGACTGGTATGTCAGGTTGTTCACAATTAGGGCCAGGAGGTTCTTAGTCATGTGACCTGAGCTAGAAAACTCTGGACCCTTGGTGTAGGCTTACAGTCAGGTCATGTGGTCAAGAAAAATGCCTATATTATATTCTACTCCTATATTCATTATTGTATTATACTATACTATAATGAGTGTGTTTCCTGTATCTCAGTGCTGTGACCTGGGCTACCACGCCAGCCTGGCGCGTACCTTCAGGACCTACCTGTCAGCTGAGTACAACCTGGAGACTAGTCGCCACGAGGGCCTGGACATCATTGAGAACGCCGTGGACAACCTGGACTCCCGCAGTGACAAGCACAAGATCATGGACATGCACAACCAGGTGTTCTGCCCTCCCATGTGCTTCGAGTACCTGCCCCACATGGGGGACGAGGTGAGAGGTGTTAAATGACTGATACATTTGATACATTTATAGATTCATACTATATTGATTGTCATTATTGAAACTGATCCAAGTTACAAGTACAACCAATAGATTTGTTCAACCATGGAAAGTACATTCAAGCCAACAGAAACAATGTTTCTAAGCATGCTTTTTCCAATTCTGTGAGGTACAGAATGGTTTTGTTTTTGTGCCTTCTAACTCGACTCTGGTGCCACTATCCATCTCTCTCACAAACACCCCTAAATACAAGACACCCCATCCAATTCCATTTGAACAAACTCTGACCCACCCATTCACAATAAATCATCACTGATATGGTATTCTGTCACTTTTCTACACAGTAAATGGTATCTTTGCACTAGCACAAGGGAGAAAGATGTTTGTTTTGAAAGTTACCTCTGTCTACGTGTGCCCCCTCAGGTGTGCCAGGTGAGTGCCCAGCAGCCTGTGCAGACTGAGCTACTGATGCGCTACCACCAGCTGCAGTCCCGTCTAGCCACGCTCAAGATCGAGAACGAGGAGGTGAGCGCTCACGATAGCGTCCATCCCCCCAGTGTGTCTGCTGCATCACCCCACTGAGATCGCCCTGTCGCCCCTGTTGCCCAAGTCTCTGAAATGCCAGAACTCAGAACTATAGATACAGCTCTCAGCTCTCACCACAATTTCAATTTAGTGGCCCACACACACTCCCTGGGAGCTGAGAATGGATCTTTAGCTTGTGATATTGAGCTTGTGTGATAACACTAATGGATGCATGTTCCAGGTAGATACAGTACATCGCTGATGATGGTCTATTGTGCGTGGTGAGGAGTGGTCCTTCTCAGTGGGAGCAGCAGGCAACAGGCAGCAGGCAGCATACACACACAGCTCTCTCTCCCTCTGAGTGGATGCAGGTGCTAATGGAGATGCTAATGACCCTGGCTAGCTAGCTACAGCCTGCCCTGATGGCTACGCCTCAGCTTCATCTCATATCTCCCTGGTTCTCATCATGTCTCATAACGTTTCATATAACTGCCGGGTAATGGACGAGTCGTGCCACTCTGGGAATGAGCCTGATCAATCTCAGTGCTGTATAGAAAGAGCCTGCATCCCTTTTACATACAGCCGGCATTTCATCCAGCCAGGCCAAATGCTCTTCATATTCTTCTGTTATTCTGATGAATGGCTGACTGGCAGGTCGTCTGGTACGCTGCCTAGGAATGAGCCCTGTACCTGCCTTAGGGGGTGAAGGCTGTTAGGTGTCAGACAGCTACAATCAAAGGTCATTCGTTGTTATTGTCTTTGAAATGGGATATGCCAGTGATCACTCACGTTTGACCTTGCAAGTGGCATAGGGTGGTTTTACTTTTGAACCTTGAAGATGTTCAAAAGGACCTGGATCATATGAGGAGGAAATCCTGGTTCTTTTATCATGGTTTGAGTTGTTGAATCTTTGCCTTTGCTGTAGGTGAGGAAGACTCTGGATGCCACCATGCAGATGCTCCAGGACATGCTGACTGTGGAGGACTTTGATGTGTCTGATGCCTTCCAGCATAGCCGCTCCACTGAGTCCATCAAGTCGGTGGCCTCTGAGACCTACATGAGCAAACTGAACGTGGCTAAGAGACGGGCCAACCAGCAGGAGACAGAGGTCTTCTACTTCACTGTGAGTACCTGCCTATTATACATAGCTGTCATACCTGCCTGTTATACATAGCTGTCATACCTGCCTGTTATACATAGCTGTCATACCTGCCTGTTATACATAGCTGTCATACCTGCCTGTTATACATAGCTGTCATACCTGCCTGTTATACATAGCTGTCATACCTGCCTGTTATACATAGCTGTCATACCTGCCTGTTATACATAGCTGTCATACCTGCCTGTTTTGCCCTAAGATATGCAGCCATGTTTGAGGGCAACTGCCTGTTATATCTGTTTCACACTAAAGTGACAGACCTAGCTGTACTACCATAGCCTTTTTCCCTGACTAAAAGGACCTTTAGTGTCAGTTTAGTGCACATCAAAGCCATCAGCAGTCACACTATTCCACAAAACACGTATGCTTTGGAAATCCAATGGAAATTAAATTATCCTTGGAACAGATTGAATTTGTGCCATTCAGAGTGAGACTGACTGTGTTCTCTGGCCTTCGTGGTGGATGGCGGGCGGCTCTGCCTGTTCCAGTCACATCCCATTAACACTGTTCACTCACTGACACCTTCATCTGGTCTGTCTGGGTTTGCAGAAGTTCAAGGAGTTCCTGAACGGCAGCAACCTCATCATTAAACTGCAGGCCAAGCATGACCTCCTGAAGCAGACACTGGGAGAAGGTAAGGGCCCTAAGTCTCTCCACCAATGACGTCATGTCTATAGACATCAATGTTAGTTCGACATGCCTTCTCTTAATGTTCCTATTTCTTCTGGTCACAATGATGTTAATGGCAGGCACCAGGCCTAGTGTGTCAACACCTAGCTTATAATGAGCCAGGGATCCCTGGGAAAGGTGACGGGTCTGTAAAATGGCCGCCCTCAGGGCCAGTAGTGTTGTGGTGCTCTTATCTAATGAGCAGAGCTGAACCAGGCTGAGGAGGGAGGACACCACAGGGACTTGTGTCCCCTCAAGGTGCAGTAGGGGTGAAACAGGGAAGAGGAGTTCAGTTCATATTCAAAGGCGAGGTCTTTAAGTGCATCAAAGGTATCATAAGGAAACACTATAACATCACAATCCCCTCTACTCTCTGCATGTTGTGCTGTAGCCTCTAGGAGGGTCCTGGAGGATTATGGGTAATAGAGACCCCACCCCTCTCACAGAGGCCCCTCCCAGGGGGACCCTTGTCACCTCAGCCATGAGCAGTTTACGCCCAATCAATCAGGCCATCCCAGCACCCAGCAGCACAGGCCTATCTCCGCAGCTGCTGATGCACCAGGGGTTCACCTAATAGAGAGGGACAGCAGGAGCAACCAGATGGGGCCATGTGTGCGCATAGCCGCGCACACACACACTCACACTCAGTGTTTCCCCTAGGATTCTTTTCAGCAGTGATGGCAAGGGTGGGTGCATTGCTACTAGCATCAGCGCAATGACATACTAGCTGTTCCCATAGACTTCCAGTCATTAAGCAAATGACTATCCATTTAAAAGCGTGTTTCGGCAGAAATATATAAACAATTACATAATATTTTTTGCATAATATAATTTTTATCATAGGTACACTTCAACTGTGAGAGACGGAATCTAAAACAAAAATCCAGAAAATCACATTGTATGATTTTTAAGTAATTCATTTGCATTTTATTGCATGACATAAGTATTTGATACATCAGAAAAGCAGAACTTAATATTTGGTACAGAAACCTTTGTTTGCAATTACAGAGATCATACGTTTCCTGTAGGTCTTAATAATAATATGCCATTTAGCAGACGCTTTTATCCAAAGCGACTTACAGTCATGCGTGCATACATTTTATTTATTTATTTTTATTATTATTTTTGTGTATGGGTGGTCCCGGGGATCGAACCCACTACCTTGGCGTTACAAGCGCCGTGCTCTACCAGCTGAGCTACAGAGGACCAGGTTTGCACACACTGCAGCAGGGATTTTGGCCCACTCCTCCATACAGACCTTCTCCAGATCCTTCAGGTTTCAGGGCTGTCGCTGGGCAATACGGACTTGTATGGGTGTGACATATGGTGGCTGCAGGTACCAAACATGCTTAATTATTGAGGTGATCAATCAGGCCTGCTCATTAAGCGTGTGTGTGTGTGTGTGTACGTGCATGAATGTGTTATTAGTGACCATGGAGAATACCACATGGTGCACACATCAGACATAGCTGTATAGATTACTACAACACTATGTCAACATTGAAACTACTCAACATGGCTGGGATAGCTGCCAACCTGAAAGCATACCCTCCTGGGTTGTAGGTGGAAATCACAGATCTTCATCCATGAATATCTACAGTTAACGCAGGTAGAATTCACAGACAGTTATACAAAATTACACCATTGTGATGATTAATTCCCTATTATTAGGTTATGGAGCTGTAGTTGATGTGTTGGTTTAGAATACTGAAACCTCGAGTTAGCAGCTTTTACATAAAGCATTCGGCTCATTTAGCAAAAGTACTCAGTCACCAATTGACCCTTTGCTAAGCCCCGCCCCATAATTTGGGGCAACCAATTGCAATCGAATTAATAGCAACTGTTGTCAAGACAACACCTCGGACATGCTCACATTTAAATCTGTTGAAAGCCAGTGAGGCTAATACTTTTTTTAATGGCTAAATAATTGAACAGTGCACCAGGAGTACTTGGTGCTGTGATTCCTGAAATGCAGAACCTGTTAATGAAGTATTTTTCAAATCCGAAATTCTACTTTTGTTAGCTTAATTGTTTGCTGGCTCAGCAGGTTAGCTAGCTCTCAGTCTCACTAGCCACTTAATATCACTTGTTTTCTCAACATTTATGTTCATATCATTGCTATCTGCTGTCGACATCAGGATACGATTTGAATGCACTAGTTAGCTCCAAAAGTGGTTATAGCTTTGACTGTATGCTGACAGTGAATTCAGAGCTATTCAGTGGCTAGCTACACAAACAGAATTTTACCAGGTTCCCGTGAAGCAATTGTAATGGAAGTCCACCACAACATATCCAAGAGTTTCCTGATTAGCAAGGGGTAGTCTGTGTTTAATTCCATTGTGTATTAAAAACACAGTTTGAGATCATTGTGAGAGGATTTCACCAGTCGTTTAATGGGGAATTGGGCTTTCCAGGAAAAAGGTTGTCCAAGGTTGCAAAAGTAACCAAAGGGGGTGGGGCTTAGCAAAGTGTTATTTGCTACGGTATTCTTGCAGTTATAATGAGACACTTAAATCCTTATGTTTGGATATGAAATTAAAACAGAATTTGTATAGCCAGCCTGTGCTTTGCCCATGCTGGAGAAAGGGGGTGTAATTTCTGGGTTCATTGAGCTGAGCTAGGCTAGGCTATCACTCACTGGAATGACTGGCAGGAAATGCACTGTTGTTTCTCCACATGAACGCTCCAGAGACCACACTGCTAGTCTCATCTACTGCCAACATTATGCATAGAGAAATGGGTCAGTCATCACTCTCGTCTCTCATTCTAAAGCTGATAGAAAGGGAACAACAGAATGCTGGACTAGTGTACTGTACTTTTTATGCTTGCTGTACACAATGAGGCACATTCAGTCAATGCTCAATTGATTATATTTAAAAGACAAAGGGCCTTTCTCAACCCTAGCAACTAAACTCTATTTATTAACTATTGGCTGTTAAAGCTGTGGTTAGTGGGAGGACCTTTCTGATGCATACGAATAACAGTAATAAGGACTGACTGACTTCTTCATTGCCTAACCTATACTCAATGTCTTGTCTTTACCTAAGGCTAGACTAGCAAGGTTTATTGGTTGTGTGTGTGCGTGTGCGTGTGAGAAAGACAGAGGGAGAACTTGTATTCATGAAAGTGTGTGAGTTTGGGTTGGGTTTAGTGTTTTTGCGTGCACATGTGCTGCTGTGTGTGTACATGTGCTGCTGTGTGTGTACATGTGCTGCTGTGTGTGTACATGTGCTGCTGTGTGTGTACATGTGCTGCTGTGTGTGTACATGTGCTGCTGTGTGTGTACATGTGCTGCTGTGTGTGTACATGTGCTGCTGTGTGTGTTGAGATGTGCGCAGGGCTTTGGGACAAAGGGCTCAGTGAGCCAGCGCAGACATCGCTCAGTGTCACCAGTGTGAGATGTACCCCCAGTCCCCCTGCCTTCCGCCTCGCACCCAGAGCCCCTTTTCTTCCCTGAGGGAGTGGGCCTGCCCCCCACAGGGTCCCCTCTGGAGTTTCTATGGTGACAGCTCAATGCCTTTGTCTCAAGGATGCTGTTGTCCCTAGACCATTCAGCTCTCCCTCAATAGCTTTGACTATTCCCATTAAATCCTTCACTGAGCCCTGATAGAGGAGCAGGAGTTAGCCTGCACACTGTGCATGCCATGCACTCATATTCTTAATGACATTTCTCTCTTCTTCTGTGTTTCCAGGAGAAAGGGCTGAATGTGGGACTACGAGGTAAGATGCCTTAAGAAAACTAAACCATTTCAAATCCCCTGCCTTTGACATAACTACTCTCATGGTGCATACAATATAATATATATTATAAGGTTATTTGATTTCAGTGGGTGTCTAATAGAGAGTAAAGGAATAAACTACGGCAGATCATACAGTATGGAGTTCTCAGAGCATCTTGTTCACATACATCCATTGTTTTATACTCCATTAACCTTATTGCCAGGAGTTAATACAAACCTAAGCATCATGTGTTGCAACAATGAGCAGAATGGTTGAGGCTGTGTTTAGAGTTCTGTCTGGATGGCAGAGAGGATAGTGCGGTATGTGTCACTGATCTGTCTGTCTCTGGGAAGGGCTTCAGGACCGCAGTGCAGATGGATCAGGAATGCTGGGTAGCTGTTAGTGTGTGTGCGGGTGGGTGGGATAACCTGAACTATCAGCAGGTGTGCTTGATTTTATTAGCTCTGGTTAATAATGTTTACATTAAGCTATACATTTGGAGTCAAGTTTTCAATACGTCAGTCAGAGTGGGTTTTATAAGGGACCCGACGCCTCCGGCCATACAGCCCCTCAGGACCTCCCAGCAGCAAAGCCCAGCCTAGCACTGTTTAGGGGTTCATTACAGGGCATAGCCTTTCAGCTTTAAATAACACACACCAGTAATAAAACGTCTCGTTTTGGTTAAATGTTCAACATTTGGATGTGGATCACTTCCTCCTGCCTACACACATTTCCTCTTGATAAACAGAGTACAGGGGGATATTTGGGAAGGCGGAAGTCAGGGCTATTGAGAGATGATGTTTTCATACCTGCATTTCAGCCTTGCGTGTTCGTTGTACTGTTTCACAGCATATGGTGTTTTTGTTCCCCTCCTCACCGGCCATCTCCCCAGGCCCCCCACTCTCCCCCCTAAACCACAGAAAATGCGGAAGCCTAGGCCGCGCTCAGTCTATAACCATAAGCTGTTTAACGGCAATATGGAGACCTTCATCAAGGTACCCCACCCCCCGCTCATTCACACTGGGTTGTGTGAATGAGCTACCCTGTGGGGCTGGAGGAGGAGGGCCGCTAGGGCCCACTCTCTCCCTCTCTCTCGCTCTTCCTGCTCACTGCTCTCCCTCATCCTGTAACCACTGTCTTTAACCTCACCTCCACTTCCTCTCCTCCCATGGCTCTGACGATGCACACAGACAGGGTGGCAGTGGGTTAGTGTCTCCCTATTCTGTCAGATGTAGCAGTAGCACAGATTCTCCTCTGCTTATCCTCAGACGTGAGGATACTGCTTATCATAGTCCCCATAATGGCTCTGCAGAGATCCCTGTGCTAGTTGATTCCCTCAATGCACCCACATCTCACTGCATCTCAAGCCATCCCAGTGGCCCCTGACCTGTGCTTATCCTCCAGGCCTACGGAGGAGGCTCTTTCTGTCTATCTGTCATCTGTGCTTCTCTAACTGTGTTGCCTCTCTGCCTCCCTTCCTCTGCACCTCCTTGCTGTGCTGCTTTCTGTCCCAGGGGAAGACGGAATGCCCGTACCCGCAACCAGGTACTATCAGTGGGGGGGTGGTAGGATGGGAGGTAGGGCGCGTGGCACGGAGCTGTAGAGTGGGCCTAATGAAAACTATTACACGAATAGCTCTACATGCTGATTTCTGCTTTCCTCCACACGTAGTCATACTAATGAGCTCCAAAAGCATGTCACTGCTGCTCCACTTGTTTCATGACTATTTGCTTGCTGTAACAGGGGGCTGTGAATAGTAATGGTTTCTATCTGTCATTTTAATGCTGCTCATATAAATGTTGGTGGACACTGCTGTTTATGAAGCCATCAGGAAGAGGCATTTGTTTCTTTATGGCGGGGTGCAGGGCAGGCCTAGAATAATCAATGCTTTGCCTCTTCTTTTAGAATAATGTGAAGTAAGGCCTAATTGGTTGTTATATACAGTATGCTGAAACGTTTTTTTATTATGCAGTGCTGCTTCACATAAACAACAGAATCTATCAATATGGACAGTATAGTATTTGTGGTTAAAAGTTCTCTAGTCACTGTATAAGTGTCAGTCATCCATGTTTTGGTCTTACTATTGCCATGATTTGCTTTCAGGATTCAGGTCAACCTATTCCTCTTGTGGTTGAGAGCTGTATTCGACACATCAATTTGTATGGTAAGTCTACTAAAATCACACCTTACTGATGGCTTCTACCATTGGACTGTATTCAAGGGTATTCAAAACACCAGTAGACAGCTGTGAACTCCACTGTGAACACTTCATATCTCATAACAGATGACAGAACCTCTGAGTAGAGGTAATCCATTTACTAAAACATCTCCAGGTGTTGAGACAAACCTGCTATGATTTAACACCTCAGCCCCATGTGCTCTCAGCTTGAATATAGAATAACGTGACAGGAGCGTGGCAGCACATCACACATAGGGACTTCTGACAGGACCCTTGGTCTTTGTTTACTAAATCAGTCCAATCTTCCCTTCCTCCCTCCTCATATCTTCATCCTTCTGTCCACCTCCACATCTGACTCCAGCCAAAGTGGTGTAGCCTCCAGGCCTGTAACCCCCTCCCCTCCCCTCCCCTCCCCGCCACGCCCCCTCCATTCCCTACCCCCCTAGACCTAATGAAACCCCCACAAACTGATTAGGGGTTCTCTAACAAAAACCATATGCGGCAGACTGACCGAGGGGCCCTCTCTTGGAAGAAAAGAAAACACACGTCCCTTCACCACTAAATTATATTTCCTGCTCTCTGTTGTGTGTTTTCCATTGGTCTTTCATATAGCGGCCGTTTGGGTGTGGGGATAATGGTGGGCTCAGACTCAGTATTATGTTTCTATGTCTTGTTGCAGGGCTCCAGCAGCAGGGCATATTCCGTGTCCCTGGATCCCAGGTGGAGGTCAATGATATTAAAAACTCATTTGAGAGAGGTAGGTCCCCGTGAGATTGGTGGTAATTGGTAATAGATTAGATTTCTGTTTTTCTCCTACAGCTCAGGATCAATAACATGACAAACCCATTGAATTTCAGACATACAGTATATACCTATTATTTTCTATAATATAACATCTACGTGTAGCAAGCAATCAACTGATTCAGTTCTGTTGCAGTGGTCAGATGCTCCAAACTAATATCTCTACTCTGCTCTATTGTTTTGTTAGGTGAAGACCCATTGATTGACGACCAGAATGAACATGACATCAACTCAGTGGCAGGGGTCCTCAAGCTGTACTTCAGGGGCCTGGAGAACCCTCTGTTCCCCAAGGAACGCTTCCTGGACCTCATTTCTACTATCAGTGAGTAGACTCTAAAGCCCACTGGTGCCCCTACCTTACACTGTTGGTCAATGTAGTAAATGTGTTCAGGGTAACTGAAATGGTACCATAACCCTACCCATCTGGGTGGTGAAATAGCACCATTGGGGCTACGGTACAGTACATGCCTTTTGGATTATTCACCGTCAGTCACTGAGTAGAGATAGAATCAGAATAGAAGAGAGAGAAGCCAACCTCCGGCTCCAAAGATACATCATCACTCCCCACCACAACACCCTAATCCCACTGCTTTATGGGAGGGGTAAGGTAGGGACGAGAGGCACACAGCGCAGCATATGGAAACAATCTCAACACCATGGCTGTCTGCCTGCCCATGATTTAATAGAAACCCAATAGGAAGAGAGGAGCGAGGGGGCCACATCAGTCTACTAACTGAGCACAGCTTTGCAGTATTTCCCCCCTGCTCCAGATAGCCCAGTCACTCAAATCACCATATCCTCTGGTTTAAATGAGGTGGGGATATCTATTAATGATAGAAGTGTTTGTGTTGTCATTACTGTACCCTCAGTATGACTGCCAGCCCCCTGATAAGGTCGGCTCATTCTGTATATTCAATAGATCATGGTGGTGTAATGGAGCATAATGTTCCCCTGTATTAATATGTCATGTTTTTATTTTCCTCTCATTAATCCCAGTGCCAGGTGGTGTAATGACTCTTTACATTTTTTAAACATTTTAGTCATTTAGCAGACGCTCTTATCCAGAGCAACTTACAGTTAGTGAGTGCATATTAACTGCATTTGACTCTCTCTTCTCCTCCTCTGTTTCAGAACTGGAGTCTGGAGCTGAGAGAGCGCATCACGTCCAGCAGATTATTGTGACTCTTCCTCGCACCGTCATCATCGTCATGAGATACCTGTTCGCTTTCCTCAATCAGTAAGTCGGCCATATTGACTTAACAAGTCAAGTTTTACAGTCCTCTGTTGTTGAATAGAGTCCTTATACCAGAGTACCTATACACTAAGGGCATACAGTATAACAGGATGGGGTAAAAGTCTGAAATTATAACTTTTATACACCTTTCAGAGTCACTGTATTGCACTAAATCAGCAAAACTTGTGAATCTCTGTTTCAGCAGTCAGAGGAAATGGCATTACTTTCCAAAGAGTTATTGAACAGCCCTACTGTTCACGTCCTATTTATTACCGCGTCTGTCGGCAGCGCTTTAGAACTTATTTACGGGCCCACTCGGAAAGTCATCCCTCAACCCAGTAATATACCTGCCCTGTTTTATTGGACTGTTATTTTATACTCCTTTTGCTTGGTTCCCCTGCAGAACAAAGAGTTTGATTCCACATCCTGACTTTTATCTCTGTGTTTGATACCCCCCACAGACAGAGTTTGTCTCTGGGCCAGCTGTAGGTCTTTACTGCTCCACATCACTCTGCTCTGATTATGAGTGTGAAGGTACTGTAGGCCTGGTACCTAACTGGGATGCTGCTGGAAGGAAGGATGGTCTCATTGCACCCTAAACCAGGAAGGCTTATTAATAGGCCTGTTAAACTGTGAAGTTATAAGGGCAGGCTTGTTAAGGCTGGATGGGTGTGGGAATCTAGGCGACAACTAAACAGGGAGACTGAGGAATGTGCTAGCTAAGCTGGGATGTTGGGGGTTAAGGTAACTAATGGGAGGGGGTTTAAGGATGTACTCACTAAGCTGTGGTCGAAGACTGATGCCAAGTCAACATGGAGCTGTCTTTAGGTAGTAGAGGAGATTATGCAGATCTCAACTCCCTGTAGAGTCTAGAGTCTACAGTCCAGACTCAACCTTATTTATAGAAGGGAACTCAATAAGCATTTGGGAAATGTACAACTTCTATTGGCAAACAAATAACTATAAATACGTTTAAAATGGAATCACCCGTCAGATATTCACTTCATAATTCAAACACGACCTAATGGTTCACCCCACTCACTCAAACCTCATCCCTTCCCTCCAGCCTGTCCCAGTACAGTGATGAGAACATGATGGATCCCTATAACCTGGCTATCTGCTTCGGCCCCACCCTGATGCCCATACCCGACGGACAGGACCCTGTAGCCATCCAGGCACACGTCAATGAGGTCATCAAGACCATCATCATCCACAACGAGGTCATCTTCCCCAGCCACCGCGAGCTGGACGGGCCGGTCTATGAGAAGTGCATGACTGGAGGAGAGGAGTACTGGTGAGTAGTAGCTAGACCTGGGAGGTCAACACCTTTAAGACAAGCACTGAAGACATACAGTATGGCTAAGGCTAAAGCAGTAATACTGAACTTGTGTAACCCTGGGTTTAGCACCAGGATCGAGCATATGGTGTGATCTCACCCATACAACATCTACATTATAACCCTGCTTGATAATGTGGTGAGAAGAGGGGAATTTAGAGTGTAGTAGATTTGAAGATGCTAAGATAATTGCTATAAAGCATTATTGCATTAACGCTCCTAAGGGGTGGTATTTTCTTCAGCACATGCTTTTACAGACAGTGTTTAGATATAATACCCTAAGATAATTACTTTTATCTAGTGGCTAGAAATGTAGAATGGTATAAATTACTTAAAGAGCCAATCTGTCTGGAAGGATGCATTATGTAACTGTTTAAATTGTATTTTCTCTTTGTTGCCTTTTATTCCATTTTTCGTGATACAGATGCTCCAAAGTAAATGTAGAACTGAATATTTCTAGTGCACAGACTCCAATAATACTGCTTGTGGACGTTTTGTATATCAAAACTCACAGGGATGGCTTACAAGCCAGCATGTATAGTTAAATTAATACCTCACCTGGAGCTGGTCCAAACTAACATGTAGCTGATACTTCCTGGAGAAATATGCTGATATAAATACCCCCTAGTTCAATTAATCCTTTACTTTGGAACAGATCCAAGTATGACCTGTAACTCATCTTTCCTGAAGGAGGCATTAGTTTAGATAAGTTAACCTATGCATGTGTTGTGGGTGTGTCTGAGTTGACCATTGATTGACTATCCATCTCGCTCTCTCTGTCCACAGTGACAGCCCCCACAGTGAGCCAGGCACCATCGATGAGGCTGACAATGGGACTGAGCCACACACCAGTGATGACGGTCAGTAACATGGGGTTCCTTTACTTCTTCAGACACTCTGTAGAGGAACTGTTTGGGTGATTGATTAAGATAAATGTGTTGTAGCTAGCTGGCTACACAGCTAATCTTAATTAACCAGTTGGCTGTTGCAGAACTCCAAAAGCGTGTGTTGTTTCCCTCGCCTTCCTTCTGTTGTCTGCCGTTTCACTAGCTACTCTATGTGTTGTGTTTGGTTTTGTAACTGAACTGCTGTTTAGCCATGTGGTCATACTTTACACTACTAAAGTATGACATAACAGCATAGTCTGTTCTGTCTATGTTAAAGATGGAGGGTTGGTTGTGTCTGGTAGCCCTGCTGTCTGTCTGTCTGCCTCCCCAGGAAGGTACTCTGCTGTGTACTGCAGCACTGTAGTTCTGTGTCTGTACTGGACCTCCCATTATAATTGAGATACGATGCAGAAACAGCCAATGTACTGTAGCCGTGGGTTAACGTTCAGCTTAATATATACAGGATGTAATTCATGCAATGAGCCGTTCAGTATTAAAGCAGTGAGTCAGACCAGGGGCAGTGATTTATCTATGTACCTCTAGATGTCTCCAATAGAGACGGACAGATTGATCTGTAATATCAATTACAACAGCAGATTAATCATACATTTGAGCTGATGAGCCCTTGATATAAGGTTATAAAAGTTTGTTTTAAGGTTGTATGTGGTTGTTTCGAAGCCAGAGGTATTGCGTGTGATGGTTGGATGTGCTCAGTATGAATGTGATCTGGAGTGTAAGAAGGCTGTATAGATGGAGGTGCCCTGAGCGCTGACTGACCTTATTCTGTGTGTTCTTCAGACTGAAGGAGAGAACTAGGCACAGCTCAGACTGTGACAGCTTAGGGCTGCAAAGGAGCACATCATGCTTGAAGCCGGAGACAAGGTTGTGTGTACATTGTTGGCAACCCCCACCTCTCTCATCTCTCTCTCTCTCTTGCTCGCTCTCGCTCTCTCTCTCTACCTCCCCATGTAGCTCTCTCTCTTTCTCTCTCTCGCTCTCTCTCTACCTCCCCTTGTAGCACCCTTTCACTCTTATTCTCTCTCATCTCTTTCTTCAGCAGTAGTAAACAGGTCCCATGGGACTTCCTCCTTTGTGCCTTTGTATTTTCTTGGTTCTCCTCATAGCCCTGACAGAATAATTTGGCTAAAACTAAACATACTCTGAAAACCAAAACACTAGTCAGTCACAACACCAGAGATACTTCTGGCTCTCAATGGGCAGGCCCAAGTGTATAGCTGTATGCTAGGCTAGGCTAGGGTAACAATATCGGGGAGCCCCATCTGTAGGGATGGGTGTGTCAGTAATGAGTGCTGACACCCTCCCCAGCCCTCTGAACCAAACAGCAGAACAAAGGCTGACTGCCCCCCACAGCTCTGCCTGTAGAGAGCTGGGAGGAGAGGAGAGTACAGAGGCACAGCCAGGCAGGGCAGGGCCCTTGGCGCTGGATCGTGGTCTCCCTCTGTTTAATTAGTATGCTTGGAGAGAATGAGAGTCACATGGTCCTGTCTTGGCTCTTCTCAGACCTGAGGCGATGCTGCCCTCAACAGCCCGGCCCTCAAACCGAGCCTAGAGACATGGCCACACAGCACATGGCCGCACAGACACAACAACACTTTCTAGCTGAAGCTAGAACTAAAGGACTACATGAATACTATATAAATCAGAGAACCACAATGTGGGCCTAGTTTGACTGTTGTGGCCTTCAGCTTGTATGTTGATTCTGAGTATTTGTTCTTTATTGGAGAACAACAGAGTCATATTGTGATGATCACAGGGACCTTTCCCTTACTGCAGACAGACAGACATACAGTTGAAGTCGGAAGTTTACATACACTTAGGTTGGAGTCATTAAAACTCGTTTTTCAACCACTCCACAAATGTCTTGTTAACAAACTATAGTTTTGGCAAGTCGGTTAGGACATCAACTTTGTGCATGACACAAGTCATTTTTCCAACAATTGTTTACAGACAGATTATTTCACTTATAATTCACTGTACCACAATTCCAGTGGGTCAGAAGTTTACATACACTAAGTCGAATGTGCCTTTAAACAGCTTGGAAAGTTCCAGAAAATGATGTCATGGCTTTAGAAGCTTCTGATAGGCTAATTGACATCATTTGAGTCAATTGGAGGTGTACCTGTGGATGTATTTCAAGGCCTACCTTCAAACTTAGTGCCTCTTTGCTTGACATCACAGGAAAATCAAAAGAAATCAGCCAAGACCTCAGAAAAAAAATGGTAGACCTCCACAAGTCTGGTTCAACCTTGGGAGCAAGTTCCAAACGCCTGAAGGTACCACGTTCATCTGTACAAACAATAGTATGCAAGTATAAACACCATGGGACCACGCAGCTGTCATACCACTCAGGAAGGAGATGCGTTCTGTCTTCTAGAGATGAACGTACTTTGGTGCGAAAAGTGCAAATCAAGCCCATAACAACAGCAAAGGACCTTGTGAAGATGCTGGAGGAAACAGGTACAAAAGTATCTATATCCACAGTAAAACGAGTCCTTTATCGACATAACCTGAAAGGCCGCTCAACAAGGAAGAAGCCACTGCTCCAAAACCGCCATAGAAAAGCCATACTACAGTTTGGAACTGCACATGGGGACACAGATCGTACTTTTTGGAGAAATATCCTCTGGTCTGATGAAACAAAAATAGAACTGTTTGGCCATAATGACCATCGTTATGTTTGGAGGAAAAAGGGGGTAGCTTGCGAGCAGAAGAACACCATCCCAACCGTGAATCACGGGGGTGGCAGCATCATGCTGTGGGGGTGCTTTGCTGCAAGAGGGACTGGTGCACTTCACAAAATAGATGGCATTAGTTGGTAGAGCATGGCGCTTGCAACGCCAGGGTTGTGGGTTCGATTCCCATGGGGGACCAGTATGAAAAAATTAATGCACTCACTTAACTGTAAGTCGCTCTGGATAAGAGCAGCTGCTAAATGACTAAAATGTGAATGTGAAAAAATGGGTCTTCCAAATGGACAATGACCCCAAGCATACTTCCAAAGTTGTAGCAAAATGGCTTAAGGACAACAAAGTCAAGGTATTGGAGTGGCCATCACAAAGACCTGACCTCAATCCTATAGAAAATGTGTGGGCAGAACTGAAAAGGTGTGTGCGAGCAAGGAGGCCTACAAACCTGACTCAGTTACACCAGCTCTGTCAGGAGGCGTGGGCCAAAATGAAAGAAATAAAAGCTTAAATAAATAATTCTCTCTACTATTATTATGACATTTCACAATCTTAAAATGAAGTGGTGATCCTAACTGACCTAAGACAGGGAATTTTTACTAGGATTAAATGTCAGGAATTGTGAAAAACTGAGTTGAAATGTATTTGGCTAAGGTGTATGTAAACTTCCGACTTCAACTGTACAGGTAACTGCCAAAATAAACATAAAGTGTCTTAATAGGGCGTTTGGCCACCACGAGCCACCAGAACAGCTTCAATGCGCCTTGTCTGGAACTCTACTGGAGGGATGCGACACCATTCTTCCACGAGAAATTCCATCATTTGGTGTTTTGTTGATGGTGGTGGAAAACGCTGTCACAGGCGCCACTTCAGAATCGCCCATAAGTGTTCAATTTAGTTGAGATCTGGTGACTGAGACACACACACCCTTTAAACTGTTCTTTAAACCCCCTATGCTCCTTTGAAACGCCTCTTTTAAAGCCATGGTAACCAAAATAAGCATGATGGGATGTTAACTGCTTAATTAACTCAGGAACCAAACCTGTGTGGAAGCACATGCTTTCAATATACTTTGTATCCCTCATTTACTGAAATGTTTCCTTTGTTTTGGCAGTTACCTGTACATGTGTTATTGTGTTTCTGAGGAAGAGAGCGAGCGCTCTATTTAAGTGGTCTAAAAGCCTTAGGCTGAATCTACTCTTGGAACGAGGGGGACAAAGAGAGACAATGTTACCCTGTCTCTGTCCTTCTATCTCGCTCTCGCTCTCTCTCTCGCTCTCTCCTCCCTTTTCCTCCTCTCTCCTTCTCCTCTCTTCTCCTCCTCTTCCTCCCTCGCTCTCCCTGTCTCTGTAGATAATTTCACCCCTGGATGGAGCTCCTAATGTAACTGATTGGGCTTTCTGGTTGGCTTGGAGATTTCCTGCTGGGAGACGATTTATTTTATACATGTGCTTAACCCCCGGCTGACTCCTGCTCTGTCTGTCTGTCTGGTCTGGGCCATAGAGACACAATGAGGCGTGGCTGTAGTACCAGTGGCCAAGGCCATCCTGCCACGTACAAACACACCCCCTCCGCCCAGTCAGGGAAATCTAGATGGGAAATCTGACAGCCTGGGGACTAGCTTAGATCCCTTTTTATTTTGAACACTCACTAAATGTGCATATCTCTATGGGACATGTCCCCAAGCAAAAATTAGTTTCTCTAGGTTGCATGTGTCATCAGGCTCTTTGTGTGATTGATATCAGCTTGGACGCAGGGTGTGTGCGTGGGCATGTGTCCGTGCGTGCGTAGCAATACCTCCCCCTCACCCGGTCATACCCCCTCCCCTGGCACCGTCCCTGTGGGATAGAGGGCTTGTAGCAGAGACAGGTCTTCTAATCTCCTCTGGTCCAGTGTTGAATGGGGACTGATGTTTGCTAACGGACAAATAGAGCCTGTGCCTTTGTGTGTCTGTTCTATCAAGAGGCTGGCAACATCATGAAGGTTGGTTATTCTGGCTATTGGTGTGTGCTCAGTGTGTGAGTAGTTTGGTGTGTTGGGACCCATAATGCCATTAAAGGACCAAGTCATTGGATTTAATGTGTTGTCAACCAGTCTACTAGCTGTTAGGATAGTAGTGTTCCCTGATCAGAATACAGTGTTACCCTTGAGCAGAGTTGTGATGTCCTCATTGGTGGCACTGGTGTTGATTGCACAGCAAATTCTCCAGTTTTAAATCAACACTGACAGTGTTAAATTTAACACTGGGCAGGTGTCTATACAGGTCCACACTTTTCAGTGTTAAATTAACACTGCTTAGTTCTGACGCTGTTACACTTTGTCAGTGTTAGGGAATTAACACTTTTAGGGTTATGCAATAACACCACATGTTGTATTTTGAACCATTACGCAAAGAGGTCCGTATCTCTTGACGAGGTCGCTCGTGTTGGATAAAGGACATTTGTTAGTGACAGAGACATGGTTGTTGAATTCATTCATTTTCAGTCCTGTGGACTTCACCAAGTGAGTTCCTACTGGAGGCGAATGTTATCATTAAAATTAAACTCTTTAGGACAATAAATTATACATCGTAAGGCCTGCTGTGTTAGGAACCTCCTGGTTTCCAGGCCACATCAGGCCTGCAAGTCACGTTATGCAGCCTTGCAAAGTGATGTGTAATTCCTATTGGAATCCAGCCAGAGATGGGAAATCCAATAAGTTGGAATTTTTTATTCACCCGCAACCTGCACTCAGAATGACTGTCAGGGTTAGGAACATTGTAAGGAGACTACCTAAACCATTTAAACTGGAACAACCATTTCAGTAACGGGTGCAACAAATCTAACTAACTGATTGGATTAGTTTAGAAAAATGCATGTCATTTATATTTGTGTCACATAAGATTAATAAATCAATCAATGTACACAGATATGAAAAACAATCCAGAAAAATGTCTACTTGCAGTAGAGCATGCTGTGAAATCTGTTAAAGATGGGCGTGGTTTTGATGGGACTGTTTTACTCTCCACAGAGTAAAACTGACCCAATCACACTCTCACACTCAACACTGGTTATTAATCAATCAATCAATCAATTTTATTTTATATAGCCCTTCTTACATCAGCTAATATCTCGAAGTGCTGTACAGAAACCCAGCCTAAAACCCCAAACAGCTAGTAATGCAGGTGTAGAAGCACGGTGGCTAGGAAAAACTCCCTAGAAAGGCAAAACCTAGGAAGAAACCTAGAGAGGAACCAGGCTATGAGGGGTGGCCAGTCCTCTTCTGGCTGTGCCGGGTGGAGATTATAACAGAACCATGCCAAGATGTTCAAAAATGTTCATAAGTGACAAGCATGGTCAAATAATAATCAGGAATAAATCTCAGTTGGCTTTTCATAGCCGATCATTAGAGTTTAAAACAGCAGGTCTGGGACAGGTAGGGGTTCCATAACCGCAGGCAGAACAGTTTAAACTGGAATAGCAGCAAGGCCAGGCGGACTGGGGATAGCAAGGAGTCACCACGGCCGGTAGTCCCGACGTATGGTCCTAGGGCTCAGGTCTCTCAGTTGGCTTTTCATAGCCGATCATTTAGAGTTGAAAACAGCAGGTCTGGGACAGGTAGGGGTTTCGTAGCCGCAGGCAGAACAGTTGAAACTGGAATAGCAGCAAGGCCAGGCGGACTGGGGGCAGCAGGGTGTCATCATGCCCGGTAGTCCTGACGTATGGTCCTAGGGCTCAGGTTCTCAGAGAGAAAGAGAGAACGAGAGAATTAGAGAGAGCATACTTAAATTCACACAGGACACTGGATAAGACAGGAGAAGTACTCCAGGTATAACCAACTAACCCCAGCCCCCCGACACATAAACTACTGCAGCATAAATACTGGAGGCTGAGACAGGAGCGGTCCGGAGACACTGTGGCCCCATCCGAAGAAACCCCCGGACAGGGCCAAACAGGAAGGATATAACCCCACCCACTCCGCCAAAGCACAGCCCCCGCACCACTAGAGGGATATCCCCAACCACCAACTTACAATCCTGAGACAAGGCCGAGTATAGCCCACAGAGGTCTCCACCACAGCACAAACCAAGGGGGGGGGGGGGGCGCCAACCCAGACAGGAAGATCACGTCAGTAACTCAACCCACTCAAGTGACGCACCCCTCCCAGGGACGGCATGAAAGAGCACCAGCAGGCCAGTGACTCAGCCCCTGCAACAGGGTTAGAGGCAGAGAACCCCAGTGGAGAGGGGAACCGGCCTGGCAGAGACAGCAAGGGCTGTTCGTTGCTCCAGCCTTTCCGTTCACCTTCACACTCCTGGGCCAGACTACACTCAATCATATGACCTACTGAAGAGATAAGTCTTCAGTAAAGACTTAAAGGTTGAGACCGAGTCTGCGTCTCTCACATGGGTAGGCAGACTGTTCCATAAAAATGGAGATCTATAGGAGAAAGCCCTGCCTCCCGCTGTTTGCTTAGAAATTCTAGGGACAATTAGGAGGCCTGCGTCTTGTGACCGTAGCGTACGTATTGGTATGTACGGCAGGACCAACTCGGAAAGATAGGTAGGAGCAAGCCCATGTAACGCTTTATAGGTTAACAGTAAAACCTTGAAATCAGCCCTTGCCTTAACAGGAAGCCAGTGTAGGGAAGCTAGCACTGGAGTAATATGATCAAATTTCTTGGTTCTAGTCAGGATTCTAGCAGCCGTATTTAGCACTAACTGAAGTTTATTTAGTGCTTTATCCGGGTAGCCGGAAAATAGAGCATTGCAGTAGTCTAATCTAGAAGTAACAAATGCATGGATTAATTTTTCTGCATCATTTTTGGACAGAAAATTTCTGATTTTTGCAATGTTACGTAGATGGAAAAAAGCTGTCCTTGAAACAGTCTTGATATGTTCGTCAAAAGAGAGATCAGGGTCAAGAGTAACGCCTAGGTCCTTCACAGTTTTATTTGAGACGACTTTACAACCATCAAGATGAATTGTCAGATTTAACAGAAGATCTCTTTGTTTCTTGGGACCTAGAACAAGCATCTCTGTTTTGTCCGAGTTTAAAAGTAAAAAGTTTTCAGCCATCCACTTCCTTATGTCTGAAACACAGGCTTCTAGCGAGGGCAATTTTGGGGCTTCACCATGCTTCATTGAAATGTACAGCTGTGTGTCATCCGCATAGCAGTGAAAGTTAACATTATGTTTTCGAATAACATCCCCAAGAGGTAAAATATATAGTGAAAACAATAGTGGTCCTAAAACGGAACCTTGAGGAACACCGAAATGTACAGTTGATTTGTCGGAGGACAGACCATTCACAGAGACAAACTGATATCTTTCCGACAGGTAGGATCTAAACCAGGCCAGAACTTGTCCGTGTAGACCAATTTGGGTTTCCAGTCTCTCCAAAAGAATGTGGTGATCGATGGTGTCAAAGGCAGCACTAAGGTCTAGTAGCACGAGGACAGATGCAGAGCCTCGGTCTGACGCCATTAAAAGGTCATTTACCACCTTCACAAGTGCAGTCTCAGTGCTATGATGGGGTCTAAAACCAGACTGAAGCATTTCGTATACATTGTTTGTCTTCAGAAAGGCAGTGAGTTGCTGCGCAACAGCTTTTTCTAAAATTTTTGAGAGGAATGGAAGATTCGATATTGGCCGATAGTTTTTTATATTTTCCGGGTCAAGGTTTGGCTTTTTCAAGAGAGGCTTTATCACTGCCACTTTTAGTGAGTTTGGTACACATCCGGTGGATAGAGAGCTGTTTATTATGTTCAACATAGGAGGGCCAAGCACAGGAAGCAGCTCCTTCAGCAGTTTAGTAGGAATAGGATCCAGTATGCAGCTTGAAGGTTTAGAGGCCATGATTATTTTCATCATTGTGTCAAGAGATATAGTACTAAAACACTTAAGTGTCTCTCCCGATCCCAGGCCCTCGCAGAGCTGTGCAGATCCAGGACAGCTAAGCCCTGGAGGAATACGCAGATTCAAAGAGGAGTCCGTAATTTGCTTTCTAATGGTCATCAACATCAACACCGGGGCTATTTTACACCACTGAGTGTTAATTTCACACTTACAGTATGAAAATGTATGCACTCGCTAACTGTAAGTCGCTCTGGATAAGAGCGTCTGCTAAATGACTAAAATGTAAATGTAAAATTTAACTCCTGAATCAACACTAGAAATGTTACACTGAAACATCAACACTAGGTAACACTGGCCAATTAGCTGTGTGGAACTCAATGACGGCTCATCTTCAACTCACAACAATGCTTGGAATCTAAGTGTATCACTCAAACAGTATAACCATCCCCTCTGTTAGAGAGTATAGTTTATATTGTAATGCTGCATCTCATTCTATTTATCTTCAACTCAGATATTCCCTCTTCTCCCTTCGCTCTTTGTCTCTCAGATACTCCTGTGTTTGATTTGAGGGTCTGAAGAACAAACTCAGCCATTAAATTGAGCCCCCAGGCAATCACAACTCTGTCTGGAGAAGTAGTGTACTCTACTGTACTGTGGAATTGATCACAGACCACAGAGACCTGAGGCCATTGTCTGAGAACATGAAGACATGCTCTCATTGTTTGGCCACATGGTTTAGGTCTTAGTAATTAGAGCAAGGGGCTCCTTATTTATATTAATGAACTCGGTGAAGCAGCTGGATTGGGTCACACTCATACACAGGTCAGGCTACTCTGTCCACACATCTCAATGGGGTGTGAGATATGTTATAACACCTGGAAATGAAGCTGGTCCAGGTTGTGACTGATGTTTCTCTCCCTTTGTTCTTTATGTCCACAGAGATGGAGCAGATTGAGGCCATAGCTAAGTTTGACTATGTGGGGCGCACCCCCCGGGAGCTGTCCTTTAAGAAGGGGGCGTCGCTGCTGCTGTACCACCGCGCCTCTGAGGACTGGTGGGAGGGCCGGCACAACGGTGTGGACGGACTGATCCCACATCAGTACATAGTGGTGCAGGACCTGTGAGTAACAACCATTCATAAACATGATCCTTCAGTCAGTTAATCAGGTGTTTTCCTCAACAATTGTCCCTCTCTAAAGGGATATAAAGCGGGGAGTAATTTAATGTGGCAGGTGTATCAAAAGCTTTCTCTTGTCTTTGATGTCGTTAGCCACACATCAATAACACTCATGGAAGATCCTTGACTGAATATCACAAAGGCACAAATAAATAATTCAAATCATTCCTGATATGTTAGCTCAAAGACACCTCACTGACAATTGCACCTTTAGTGGTAACACTATTAAATATGGATTTGATGTCAGTCAATGAGGCAGAAGTAAAGATGCTAAAGAGAAGGCCAAAGCGTGCTTTAAGTTTACAACTCTAATTAATTAATTGAAAACACCCTCAGATAGGAATTCCTGGTATAAATGTACGCAATCATTTAAAAGATGAGCCACTTAGTATACAATTATAGTTTTCCTGTGAAACTCTTCTCCACTTTCTCCTCCCTCCTTAATCCTCCACCTCCTCCCCCTCCCTCTCTGCAGACAACTTTGTCAACTTGTCACACCCTGGCAATGGGACTCTAGTTGTTGAGCCAGGGTGTGTTTGTTCTATGTGGTGTGTTTCTATGTTGGGGGTTCTGGTTTGTTGTTTTCTGTGTTTGCCTTAGTGACTCCCAATCAGAGGCAACGAGTGTCAGCTGTTCGTTGGTTGTCTCTGATTGGGAGCCATATTTAAACTGTCTGTTTTTCATTCGGGTTTGTGGGATTTTGTTCTATTTTGGTTTGTGTATAACCGTAGACATCACGTTATCGCCTGTTGTTTTGATCGTGTGATCATTCCAATTTAATAAATATGTTCGCTTTCAACGCTGCGCCTTGGTCCTCCTCATTGGTAGACGATCGTGACACAACTACTTTGAAAAACAGGTTGACGACATCCACTCCTCATTCACTCAGCCTACTGAGTCCACTGATCCCACTCACACAGAACTACCCTACGCCTTGACCTCTTTCTCCCCTCTCTCTCCAGATGCGACTAGTGATGTCCAGCCGCCCAACAACCTGCCCACTTGACCCCATCCCCTCCTCCCTTTTCCAGACAATCTCTGGAGACCTCCCATTCCTCTCTTCCCTCATCAACTCATCCCTTACCACTGGCTGCATCCCCTCTGACTTCAAGATGGCCAGAGTCGCTCCCCTCCTCAAGAAACCAAAACTCGACCCCTCTGATGTAAAAAAACAAAGACCGGTATCCCTCCTTTCTTTCCTTTCTAAAACACAGTGTGCTGTCTCTGGCCAACTCTCTCGTTATCTCTCTCAGAACAATCTTCTTGACCCTAACCAGTCATGCTTTAAGGCGGACACCGTAAACCATCAGATCCTCATTCCCACCCTCTCAGGGTTGGGCGTCTCACTTGACAGGTCGTTCCTACCTGGCAGGTCAGTTTTACCAGGTGGTGTGGAGAGGATCTGTCTCTGCACCATGTGCTCTCACTACTGACTAGGTAGTGCTGAGCGATTAACCAACATTTTGTTGACCAACATCAGTTCAATTACTTGAATTGCATTTAGTTCGTTTTTTGTGAGCCCAATGCACCGTTTCTCGAAATCAAATAATTCACGAGAGAAATCAAGTCAAGAACTAAGTGGGACACTGGGGTGAAGGGAGTTGTAGTTTTCATTAAACAAATATTCAACCTAGTTCAGCGCAGAAACGTGGTAATTAACTACAATGACCATAATCCATTGCGCCTTTTTCCGTCTCGGACAGAGATGGATACACTTTTACGCCTGCTACGTTAGGTTAGATACACACAGACCGCATGAGAGAGGAGTGTACAGAACACAAAGACGAGAGAGAGGGATAGAGACAGTTTGTGAAAGTATGCCTTTTTGACTTTGAAGAACTAGTCAAATGGTTTGCCAGACAGCTCTGACAAACTAGCCTATACAGTATGGGGAGCACGAGATAACGTTGGCTGGCTGGCTGGCTGCTACTGCCTGAGCAGAGATGAGATGATGACTTTAAGTAATTAAAAATAATAGTCATCAAATATAAACAAAGTAATATACACAACTTAAATAATGTATTATTTCATAGTAGTTTCCTATTTTTCTATTGATGTCTACCCAATGTGGACCTGATCACAGACAATGAAATATTTTCAATGTATGGACACACCTACTCATTCAAGGGTTTTTCTTTATTTTTCCTATTTTCTACATTGTAGAAAGACATCAAAACTATGAAATAACACATATGGAATCATGTAGTATTTTAGATTCTTCAGAGTAGCCACGATGACAGCTTTGCACACTCTTGGCATTCTCTCAACCAGCTTCACGAGGTAGTCACCTGGAATGCTTTTCCAACAGTCTTGAAGAAGTTCCCACATATGCTGAGCACTTGTTGGCTGCTTTTCCTTCATTCTGCAGTCAAACTCATCCCAAACCATCTCAATTGGGTTGAGGCCGGGTGATTGTGGAGGCCAGGTTATAAGATGCAGCACTCCATCACTCTCTTTCACTGGTCTAATGTCCATTGCTCGTGTTTCTTGGCCCAAGCAAATCTCTTCTTATTATTGGTGTCCTTTAGTAGTGGTTTCTTTGCAGCAATTCGACCACGAAGGCCTGATTCAAGCAGTCTCCTCTGAACAGTTGATGTTGAGATGTGTCTGTTACTTGAACTCTGAGAAGCATTTATTTGGGCTGCAATTTCTGAGGCTGGTAATAATATAATAATAATATGCCATTTAGCAGACACTTTTATCCAAAGCGACTTACAGTCATGTGTGCATACATTTTTACGTATGGGTGGTCCCGGGGATCGAACCCACTACCCTGGCGTTACAAGCGCCATGCTCTACCAATTGAGCTACAGAGGACTCTAATGAACTTATCCTCTGCAGCAGAGGTAACTCTGGGTCTTCCTTTCCTGTGGCGGTCCTCATGAGAGCCAGTTTCATCATAGTGCTTGATGGTTTTTGCGACTGCACTTGAAGAAACTTCTTGACATTTTCCTGATTAACTGACCTTCATGTCTTAAAGTAATGATGGGCTGTCATTTCTCTTTGCTTATTTGAGCTGTTACAATCTATCAGCTTTCATATTGCAGATAGATTGTAACTTCCATCAATGTAATTGTCTGCATCACTTCCAATCCCCCATATGTTTTTTTTCTTCTCGCAAATATGTAACACCCTGGCTCTGGGACTCTATATGTTGAGCCAGGGTGTGTTCTTTCATTGTGGTGTATTTCTATGTTGGGAGTTCTAGGTTGTTTATTTCTATGTTGGCCTGAGTGACTCCCAATCAGAGGCAACGAGTGTCAGCTGTGGCTGGTTGTCTCTGATTGGGAGCCATATTTATACTGTCTGTTTTTCCCTTTGTGTTTGTGGGTTCTTGTTCCGTGTTGGTCTATGTTACCTAGGACGTTACGAGTCGTTTGTTGTTTTTGTTTACTGTCCGTGTTTATCGCTAATGATAAATAAACATGTTCGTTCATCACGCTGCGCCTTGGTCCTCCTCTCTTAACGACGATCGTGACAGAAGAACCCACCAAACAAGGACCAAGCAGCGTGTCCAGGAGCAGGCAGACTGGACATGGGAGGAAGCGCCGGGAAAGGAGATGGAGAAGTTGGCGATGGCCCAGGTGGGCAAAGTGTGGTCCTGGGAGGACATGCTCGGGGGCAAAGGGCCATGGGCTAGGATTAAGGCCCTGGCGAGAGAGGAGCAGCGACGTCAGCAGTGTCATCGTCGGACGGACGAGAGGCAACCCCAAAAAAATTTTAGGGGGGGGGCACACGGCATGGGCGGCTGGGCAGCAGGAGGCTGCCACAGGGCGATTTGGAGAGGAGGCCACCGGGTTTGGGGGGCCAGAAGGCAGGTTGGCGGAGCCTGGATGGAGAGCAGAGCCAACTCCCCGTACTCAGGCATGGCAGCATGAGACTGGTCAGGTTCCGGGGTATGCGGAGCTGCGTACTGTGCCACGAGTGGTCCGGCATAGTCCGGTACGTCCTGTGCGAGCACCCCGCACGTGTTGTGTGAAGGTGGGCATGCAGCCAGGACGGAGTGTGCCGGCTCAGCGCTCGTGGCCTCCAGTGCCTCTCCTCGGTCCCGGATATCCTGCGCCAGTGTCACGTGCTGTTATGCCAGTACGGGTACACAGCCCTGTACGTCCTGTGCTGATGCCTCACACAGAGTGTGTGAAGGTAGGCATTCAGCCAGGACGGGTTGTGGCAGCTCTTCACTCCAGGTCTCCTATCCGTCTCCACAGCCCGGCCCGGCCTGTCCCTGCTCCACGCACCAAGCCTACGGTGTGCGTCGCCAGCCCGGTCTGTCCCTGCTCCTCGCACCAAGCCTACGGTGTGCGTCGACAGCCCGGTCCGGCCTGTCCCTGCTCCTCGCACCAAGCCTACGGTGTGCGTCGCCAGCCCGGTCCGGCCTGTTCCTACTCCACGCACCAAGCCAGGGGTGCGCATCGTCAGCCCGGTCCGGCCTGTCCCTGCTCCACGCACCAAGCCTACGGTGTGCGTCGCCAGCCCGGTCCGGCCTGTCCCTGCTCCTCGCACCAAGCCTACGGTGTGCGTCGCCAGCCCGGTCCGGCCTGTTCCTACTCCACGCACCAAGCCAGGGGTGCGCATCGTCAGCCCGGTCCGGCCTGTCCCTGCTCCTCGCACCAAGCCTACGGTGTGCGTCGCCAGCCCGGTCCGGCCTGTTCCTACTCCACGCACCAAGCCAGGGGTGCGCATCGTCAGCCCGGTCCGGCCCGTTCCTACTCCACGCACCAAGCCAGGGGTGCGAGTCGTCAGCCCGGTTCGGCCCGTTCCTATTCCACGCACCAAGCCAGGGGTGCGAGTCGTCAGCCCGGTCCGGCCCGTTCCGGCTCCACGCACCAAGCCAGGGGTGCAAGTCGTCAGTCCAGCACAACCCGTGCCTGGGTCACCGGTGCCTGGTAGGGTACCGGTCAACTGCTCCACTACGGAGCTGAAGCTAACCGCTCCTGCTACGTCCAGTTCAGCTCCAGCCAGCGGGGCCAGACCGGACCAGGGGCGCTATGGGGGGTTTATTGGAGGGTGGTGGGCAAGGCCGGAGCCAGAACCGCCGCCGAGGAGGAATGCCCACCCAGCCCTCCCCTGTTTTGCTCTAGTTGAGGCGCGGTCGCAGTCCGCGCCTTTAGGGGGGGGTACTGTAACACCCTGGCTCTGGGACTCTATATGTTGAGCCAGGGTGTGTTCTTTCATTGTGGTGTATTTCTATGTTGGGAGTTCTAGGTTGTTTATTTCTATGTTGGCCTGAGTGACTCCCAATCAGAGGCAACGAGTGTCAGCTGTGGCTGGTTGTCTCTGATTGGGAGCCATATTTATACTGTCTGTTTTTCCCTTTGTGTTTGTGGGTTCTTGTTCCGTGTTGGTCTATGTTACCTAGGAAGTTACGAGTCGTTTGTTGTTTTTGTTTACTGTCCGTGTTTATCGCTAATGATAAATAAACATGTTCGTTCATCACGCTGCGCCTTGGTCCTCCTCTCTTAACGACGATCGTGACAAAATATATATATACAGTGGGGGAAAAAAGTATTTAGTCAGCCACCAATTGTGCAAGTTCTCCCACTTAAAAAGATGAGAGAGGCCTGTAATTTTCATCATAGGTACACGTCAACTATGACGGACAAAATGAGAAAAAAAAATCCAGGAAATCACATTGTAGGATTTTTAATGAATTTATTTGCAAATTATGGTGGAAAATAAGTATTTGGTCAATAACAAAAGTTTCTCAATACTTTGTTATATACCCTTTGTTGGCAATGACACAGGTCAAACGTTTTCTGTAAGTCTTCACAAGGTTTTCACACACTGTTGCTGGTATTTTGGCCCATTCCTCCATGCAGATCTCCTCTAGAACAGTGATGTTTTGGGGCTGTCGCTGGGCAACACGGACTTTCAACTCCCTCCAAAGATTTTCTATGGGGTTGAGATCTGGAGACTGGCTAGGCCACTCCAGGACCTTGAAATGCTTCTTACGAAGCCACTCCTTCGTTGCCCGGGCGGTGTGTTTGGGATCATTGTCATGCTGAAAGACCCAGCCACGTTTCATCTTCAATGCCCTTGCTGATGGAAGGAGGTTTTCACTAAAAATCTCACGATACATGGCCCCATTCATTATTTCCTTTACACGGATCAGTCGTCCTGGTCCCTTTGCTGAAAAACAAAGCATGATGTTTCCAAAGCATGATGTTTCCACCCCAATGCTTCACAGAAGGTATGGTGTTCTTTGGATGCAACTCAGCATTCTTTGTCCTCCAAACACGACGAGTTGAGTTTTTACCAAAAAGTTCTATTTTGGTTTCATCTGACCATATGACATTCTCCCAATCCTCTTCTGGATCATCCAAATGCACTCTAGCAAACTTCAGACGGGCCTGGACATGTACTGGCTTAAGCAGGGGGACACGTCTGGCACTGTAGGATTTGAGTCCCTGGCGGCGTAGTGTGTTACTGATGGTAGTCTTTGTTACTTTGGTCCCAGCTCTCTGCAGGTCATTCACTAGGTCCCCCCGTGTGGTTCTGGGATTTCTGCTCACCGTTCTTGTGATCATTTTGACCCCACGGGGTGAGATCTTGTGTGGAGCCCCAGATTGAGGGAGATTATTAGTGGTCTTGTATGTCTTCCATTTCCTAATAATTGCTCCCACAGTTGATTTCTTCAAACCAAGCTGCTTACCTATTGCAGATTCAGTCTTCCCAGCCTGGTGCAGGTCTACAATTTTGTTTCTGGTGTCCTTTGACAGCTCTTTGGTCTTGGCCATAGTGGAGTTTGGAGTGTGACTGTTTGAGGTTGTGGACAGGTGTCTTTTATACTGATAACAAGTTCAAACAGGTGCCATTAATACAGGTAACGAGTGGAGGACAGAGGAGCCTCTTAAAGAAGAAGTTACAGGTCTGTGAGAGCCAAAAGTGACCAAATACTTATTTTCCACCATAATTTGCAAAAAAATTCATTAAAAATCCTACAATGTGATTTTCTGGATTTTTTTCCCTCAATTTGTCTGTCATAGTAGACGTGCACCTGTGATGAAAATTACAGGCCTCTCTCATCTTTTTAAGTGGGAGAACTTGCACAATTGGTGGCTGACTAAATACTTTTTTTCCCCACTGTATCTTCTGTATACCAACCCTACCTTGTCACAACACAACTGATTGGCTCAAACGCATTAAGAAGGAAAGAAATTCCACAAATTAACTTTTAACAAGGCACACCTGTTAAATTAAATGCATTCCAGGTGACTACCTCATGAAGCTGGTTGAGAGAATGCCAAGAGTGTGCAAAGCTGTCATCAAGGCAAAGGGTGGCTACTTTGAAGAATCTCAAATATAAAATATATTTTGATTTGTTTAACTCCTTTTTGGTTACTACATGATTCCATATGTGTTATTTCATAGTTTTGATGTCTTCACTATTATTCTACAAAGTAGAAAATAGTAGAAATAAAGAAAAACCTTTGAATGAGTAGGTGTGTCCAAACTTTTGACTGGTACTGTATATATATCGAAATCAAAATCAAAAACCGTGATTATTTTGTAATAATCAAACCGAATCAAACCGACCTCAAAAAGCACAAATCGCTCAGCACCACCCCCAGGGCTTGGTTCTAGGCCCTCTCCTCTTTTCTCTGTACACCAAGTCACTCGGCTCTGTCATATCCTCACATGGTCTCTCCTATCATTGCTATGTGGATGACACTCAACTACTCTTCTCCTTCCCCCTTTCTGACACCCAGGTGGCGACACGCATCTCCGCGTGCCTGGCAGACATCTCAATTTGGATGTCGGCCCACCACCTCAAGTTCAGCCTCGACAGAATGGAGCTGCTCTTCCTCCTGGGGAAGGCCTGTCCACTCCAAGACCTCTCCATCGCGGTTGACAACTCCACGGTGTCCCCCTTCCAGAGTGCAAAGAACCTTGGCGTGACCCTGGACATCACCCTGTCGTTTTCTGCAAACATCAAAGCAGACTCACGGCTGCAGGCTCATAATCCAGGCACTTGTCATCTCCCGTCTAGACCAGTGGTTCCCAAACTGCCGACCACCCCACAGGGGGGGGGGGGGCACGTAAAAAAATACATATATATTTACAAACTCAGTCCGGCTTTAAACTTACTCTTGAAATTTGTAATAGCAGAATGCACAAGGTGCAATTTCGAAATTGGGTAGTGCATCATCAGTTTTCCTCTTGTCATGTTAGTCATTGCATTCCTTAGAGAGCTATTTATAACTTGTCAGAAAGGTCCAGATCAACTAGCCCATGTCAGCTAGCGTTATTTTTATTACATTTTTTATAGATATTGTTGTAATTTTTTTGTCACTCAAATATCAAATGGCAATATGTATAGAATTGCAGAAAATAAGCTTTAAATCTGCAAGATTCTCTCAAGAGGGGTGTGAACAGTTTGTCTCATGAACAGTGCTTGTGCCATAGAAATAGACGTGGCGCGTGCGTACGCAGGGGAGGGTGCGGGATGTTCCCCAATGCTGGAAGGGGGGCCCTGAGTAAAAAAGTTTGGGAACCCCTGGTCTAGACTACTACAACGCTCTGTTGGCTGGGCTCCCCACTTGTGCCATCAAACCCTGCAACTTATCCAGAATGCCGCAGCACGCCTGGTGTTCAACCTTCCTAAGTTCTCCCATGTCACCCCGCTCCTCCGCACACTCCACTGGATTCCAGTCGAAGCTCACATCGTCTTCAAGACCCTGGTGCTTGCCTACAGAGCAGTAAGAGGAATTACCCCTCCCTACCTTCAGGCTATGCTCAAATCCTACAACCCAACCTGAGCACTCTGTTCCGCCACCTCTTGTCTCTTGGCCCTTCCACCTCTACGGGAGGGCAGTTCCCACTCAGCCCAGTCTTTTCTGTCCTGGCACCCCAATGGTGGAACAAGCTTCCCCCTAAAGTCAGAACAGTGGAGTCCCTGCCCATCTTCAGAAAACGTCTGAAACCCTAACTCTTTGAAGAGTATCTTAAATAACTCTCACGGCATCCCCAACGCCCCCTCCCCATCCCCCCCCTCCCAAATAATAATAATAAAAAGAAAGGCACTTGTCTTTCCTACTAGCACTGACTTGTCTTTCCTACTAGCACTGACTTGTCTTTCCTACTAGCACTGACTTGTCTTTCCTACTAGCACTGACTTGTCTTTCCTACTAGCACTGACTTGTCTTTCCTACTAGCACTGACTTGGCTGAGGGAAAATGACCTTGATACGATTGTTATGTGTTGTTGTCTCACCTAGCTATCTTAAGATGAACGCACTAATTGTAAGTCGCTCTGGATAAGAGCATCTGTTAAATGACTCAAATGTAAATGTGAAATGACTAATCATTGCTGGTGTCTGTTTCATGAATCCATTTGGATGTTGAGTGGGCAGTAAGGCCAGAGTCTCATATTGCTACTTTTTGTGTTAGGAGGAATACATTGGAATGATCAATGTTCAAAAGGAGTGGCTCCAGAACTGTCTGGAACAGATAAACTGACTGCAGATTGAAAACCAGAGCCCTCTGTAAATATGGACCAATTAGTTTGAATAAACAACAGTCCAAATAAGATCTCTACCAACTGTATGAATAATGTTCATTCTCTCTCTCTCGCTCTCCTCGCAGGGATGATGCTTTCTCAGATAATCTCAGTCAGAAGGCGGACAGCGAGGCGAGCAGTGGACCACTGCTGGATGACAAGGCCTCATGCAAAAACGATGTCCCATCACCGTGTGAACACTCCACAGACTCCAACTTTGGAGGAGTCATGGGGAGGTGGGTAATGACTGGGAAGGACTACATATTGAAATGTTTACTTCTCTTTCTAGTCTCAATGCTTTTATGCATAAATGTAAGATCAGTTTAACCTCTCCAAATGCTAATCTTAACCATTATGGAGGAAATATTCAATGTTTCAAACTGACCATAGATCAGTGTCAAGGGCCAACCTCATCCTACTCTGTGTGACTGATGTCATCTCTCTCCTCAGGGTGCGGCTACCTTCTGACGGGGCTGCCACCCCTCGACGTCGCAGCAGAGAGACCCACAGCCCTCCTCGGGGCACTGACACACCCCCGCGGGCCGCAGCCTGTCCCAGCAGCCCCCACAAGGTGGCAGTTAGCAGGAGCCGCATGGAAAGCCCAGAGAAGAGGCGCCTGGGCACATTTGGCAGTGCGGGCAGCATCAACTATGCCGACAGGAAGGCCTACCCTGAGGGCCACCCCTTGAGGCCCGTACCAGGGGCCACACGCCACAGTAGCCTGGGGGACCACAAGTCACTGGAGGCTGAGACACTGGCAGAGGTATGGACCTTATTTCCTATCAGCCCCAGGTTCTAAAGTATTACCTCGGCTCAATATAACTGCATAACCTCTTTTCCCCATGTCCTGTAACCTTATGAGTCATAGAACATCAGACAATATGGAATATGGAATGGAATCAATAGTGGTGCGCAAGTGATACTTTTTGTGTCCTATGAAAATTATAGCTATTTGTCATACCTTTCCGAAATAATTTAGAGGACAGTATTTCTAAACCTTCACACAGCAAAGCCAATCAGAGAATATTCATTCCCTAGAGACCGGAGCTAAATGCTTTTCATGGCGATGCTGAAATAAAGTAAATTACACAGAGAACTAATGATCATTGATATCGGCAACCCAAGCCCGGCGCTGGATACATGGAAAAGTAATAGAGCCACAGAGGCAGCTTTTGAAATGGCAGAGTTATGGTCAGTGCAGATAATGATAGTGGTCTCCTATCAGAGTCCTATTTCAGCCTGAGCCCATGTTGATGACCCTGCACTGTCAGGGCATGATTAAACCCAATCTTTGATCTTTAATTATTCTCCACTAATCAATTAATCTGTTATTCAGACAGAGAGAGTGTGTGTGTGTCTGTGTCTGTGTATAATTGTGACAGAGGTAATGAGTGTGCAGCCATTAAATGGGGGATGTTATTCTCTTCATTTGGTGCCATTGGGCTGTACTGTGTGAGGAGAGGGAACAGAGAGAGGCTACTAGAGAGGCTAGTTAGAGAGCCACTGGTGTCTGGGAGAACAGAGACAGAAGTGATGTCCTGCTGTACTGTCTGTCTGTGTGTGTCTGGGTGAAGCAGCCCCTGTCAGAGACAGTCTGCACCTGAAAGAAAGACACACCTACAGTACCAATCAAAGGTTTGGACACACCTACTCCTTCCAGGGTTTTTCTTTTTTTTTTTACTATTTTCGACATTGTAGAATAATAGTGAAGACATCAAAACTATGAAATAACACATATGGAATCATGTAGTAACCAAAAAAGTGTTAAACAAATAAAAATATATTTTATATTCTTCAAAGTAGCCACCCTTTGCCTTGATGACAGCTTTGCACACTCTTTGCATTCTCTCAACCAGCTTCATGAGGTAGTCACCTAGAATGCATTTCAATTAACAGGTCTGCCTTGTTAAAAGCTTATTTGCAGCCTAAATAAATGCTTCACAGAGTTCAAGTAACAGACACAACTCAACATCAACTGTTCAGAGGAGACTGCGTGAATCAGGCCTTTATGGTCGAATTGCTGCAAAGAAACCACTACTAAAGGACACCAATAAGAAGAAGAGACTTGCTTGGGCCAAGAAACACGAGCAATGGACATTAGACCAGTGGAAATATGTCCTTTGGTCTGATGAGTCCAAATTTGAGATTTTCCGTTCCAACCGCCGTGTCTTTGTGAGACGCAGAGTAGGTGAACGGATGATCTCCGCATGTGTGGTTCCCACCGTGAAGCATGGAGGAGGAGGTGTGATGGTGTGGGGGTGTTTTGCTGATGACACTGTCAGTGATTTATTTAGAATTCAAGGCACACTTAACCAGCATGGCTACCACAGCATTCTGCAGCGATACGACTGATTTGCGCTTAGTGGGACTATCATTTGTTTTTCAACAGGACAATGACCTAAAACACACCTCCAGGCTGTGTAAGGGCTATTTGACCAAGAAGGAGAGTGATAGAATGCTGCATCAGATGACCTGGCTTCCACAATCATCCGACCTCAACCCAATTGAGATGGTTTGGGATGAATTGGACCACAGAATGAAGGAAAACCAGCCAACAAGTGCTCAGCATATGTGGGAACTCCTTCAAGACTGTTGGAAAATCATTCCTCATGAAGCTGGTTGAGAGAATGCCAAGAGTGTGCAAAGCTGTCATCAAGGCAAAGGGTGGCTACTTTGAAGAATCTCAAATATAAAATATATTTTGATGTGTTTAACACTTTTTTGGTTACTACATGATTCCATATGTGTTATTTCATAGTTTTGATGTCTTCACTATTATTCTACAATGTAGAAAATAGTACAAATAAAGAAAAACCGTTGAATGAGTAGGTGTGTCCAAACTTTTGAATGGTACTGTACATCACGGTGGAATGGAGCTGGATTCTGAAAGAAAACACCACATGTACGTTTATTTATTTGAAAAGATAACAGTGTATGTCTTGGCGTTAGGGCTCTGCTCGTTCAGGGTAGCTCACTGCCAGAGCCAAGCATCATATGAAGATGATAATATAACTACAGGCAGTGAGCACGATATTCTATATCAAATCCCCCGAAGGAAGAAACACACAACCTGTGCAGGTGGCGGCTGGGGTGGTGGTGGGATATCAGAAACAGCAAGCATAGCGTGTAACAACTAGTTACAGCATCAACGCAGCAAGAGACACCAGCGCATGCGAGCATTTGACATCTGGTATTGAGGAAGCATATGTAGAACTGGTCAACTTAAATAGACCGCATGTAATTAAAGTGTGAATCCAATTGGTGCAATATCTGCTAATGCAATTAGCTGATGCCAACACACTCGAGTTTCCCTTCTGAACTGGCTACGCTTTATTAAAAAGCACAAGAAGTTTAGCATTAGATTCTCAGCATCAATGGCTACAGCCATTGCTTAGCTAAACGTAGCTTAGCTTGGCTTAACAATTATATCACAATGATCTCCTTTCACGTTTTCTGTGTATTTTGTGTATGTCAGGACATAGAGAAGACCATGACCACGGCTCTACATGAGCTGCGTGAGCTGGAGCGCCAGAACACGGCCAAGCAGGCTCCAGACGTGGTACTGGACACCCTGGACACCACCATGAAGAACCCTGTGAACTCGGAGCCTGGCAGCCCCCTCCACACCATCATGATCCGCGACCCAGACGCCGCCATGCGGCGCAGCAGCAGCTCCACCTCCGAGATGATGAGCACCTTTAAGCCCGCCCTGTCGGCCCGTCTGGCCGGAGCCCAGTTGCGCCCCCCGCCCATGAGGCCCGTCCGCCCGCCCCCCACCGGGCACCGCTCCTCCAGCTCCAGTTCCTCTGGGGTGGGAAGCCCTGCTGTCACGCCCACTGAGAAGATCTTCCCCAACAGCACTGCCACGGCTAGCTCTGCAGCCAACGCAGCTAACGCATCCGGGGACAAGTCCGGCACCATGTAGCTCTGAGGGAGAATTAGGGTTGTCATGTTGCAACTGTTTGACGCAGAGGAAAGCCGATAGGAATGGGACGATGCGTTGTCAATGTGTTCTCTGAGGACAGTTGTGGATTTTTCCTTCCTCCTCATTTTGAGTTTGACTTTATTTCTTGAATTCAGGAAGCTCCTGGAGTGAGCCTGAGTTGCCATGGTGATGGCAGGCAGAGAGGCTGTAGGGGTTTGCCTATCAACGCAACTCTCTGTGAAGCTTGATTTTAAACCAGGTGTGAAAATAATGAATAAAATCACCTCAAAGTAAAACCTATTTTTTTATTTTTCATTTTTTACCTTTAAAATTAAAAGTATGTGGCCAGGTCTGGCTTTTTAGTGATTCATTGACTGCAAGACGTGAAGAAGTACGTGTGGAATTTTGACATTGGTTTTCATCCTGCACTGGTTGTCCAGATGATGTCTCATCCCTTGCTGGTGGATTGGACACTCACCAGTAAGGTGTCTCATCCCTTTCTCTCTGGATTGGACACTCAGTCTACCAGCCTGTGTCTAAGAGACCAAGATGGTCACCGGCCTTTTGCTGTAACCAAGATGGTCACCGGCCTTTTGCTGTAACCAAGATGGTCACCGGCCTTTTGACTGTAAATAGAGACTTACTTAAAGTTGTTATGCCTTTTGTTTGTACTGTAGTATAAGGGATGTTCAACAAAGTAACACCATAGCAACATTGTATATGTATATGAGATGCAGAGACTGAACCAATATACCAATTAATTGTAAGAAACCTGTGGTAAACATGTAGTTTAACTTGTATATAGTTTATGTATTATTTTTTTAAAGTGTTCATCTTGTACAGGCCCAGACGGAACAGGCAAGGAGAGGTGAATGGCATTGTCAAAAAACAAACAAACAAAAGAGTCAACCTGCAAACAAAGACAACATATCAAAAAGGTTCTGCTTCCATTGTGTTATTTTCATCATTTTCTGCATGAACACACATACTAAACACAGCACTGAAGGTTGTGTTAAGAATATGTGGTTATGGGGATGTCAACATCATACCACACATTGTATTTATGAGTTAAAATTCAATTTGCACTCAAATGGATCCTGATATTCTCTCTATTATTCATATTTAAGACAGTAAAATGAGTGTATTATACCATTTTCTGCCACAGTAAGGTTTGAACCCTCTTTTATTTTGTATGATTTTGTAATACTGTGAGAATACTGTTGACCATGGCTCCTTACCCCCTCATTGTTCCAACAGCTCTAGAGGTCTACACGGTAACATGTGTGAAGTCAGTCCACAACCAGACTGACTGATTGTTGTTACCAGGCTGATGTTGGGTGTTCTAGTGGCTGGTCCTGAGCACTGTTTGGACTGAGCCTAACACCTCTGTAAGTTGGATGAGAGCTCACTCAGCCCAAATCTGTCAGCTTCCATCCACTACAGTCCAACAGGCTGCCCCTGTGAGGCATGGACGGTGGAAATACCCATACAAAATAGGAACTCAGCCCGTCTGACCCAAATAACTTTGTGCCCATGAAAGCTCTTTAGACACACATTTTTACATTCACATTTTAGCAGACTCTCTTATACAGAGCGACTTAGAGGAGCAATTAGGGTTAAGTGCCTTGCTCAAGGGCACATCAAAATATTTTTCACCTAGTCGGCTCAGGGATTCAAACCAGTGACCTTTCGGTTACTGGCCCAATGCTCTTAACCGCTAGGCTACCTGCCGCCCTAATCAGATTTCACTGTACACTTTGCCATCTTTAAAGCAACCTCTTGCCTGTTCGAGTCTGATTTATGTCATGCTTTTAACACGCAAAATATGCAGGAAAGTACTGTTACAATATTCCTTTTAATCTAAAATGTGATACCTTACCTAGACAACTCCAGTGTTGCCTGAGCAGTTAGCGGTAAATGTTGTGAAATAATAACAGCAGCACAGTGGTCCTACCTTCCTTACCTCTTCTCATCTTGGTTATAACATCCTCACTGTCATGTCCCAGTGTCTCATTCAACTTCTTGTTTTCAGTCCTTCAGCAAGGAAATGTAAGCACGTACTGAAAGATGTCACTGTAGGCCTATACTGTAGCTGCCATGTTGAATTATAGCCTGTGCTGGCCCAAGCCCGCTCCTGCCTCTGCTCAGTCCTACAGTTGTGTGGTTGGACTGCCTTGTATACGGCATGCCCTGCTCTGCATGTTTTATGCTGTACCATTCGACTTATACAATATGACAATTCAATAATGGCTGTTTGCGGTGTCTTTCCTTGGTAAAACGCACAATTGACTTAGAGTGTAGGCATTTTGCTTTCGAGAGGTGGGCTACTATGCCCTAGAAGTCTAACCTTTTTGGAATATGAGAATACCTGTTGGCACTAACATGGAGCAATAATGTGTGGGCAATGGAATTGAATTGTCAGCTAAGGTAGATCAACAAATGTGATTTAGCAGATTTAGCAGCATGAGTCTCAGGCTGTGAATCCATTATCAATCATATCAACATCATTCAGTCACTGTTATAATGTGTACAGATCTTTATTTCATACACAGTTTCCTATGAGATACATACCTTCATTTGAAAAAGTTGTCATTCCTGTCTGTTGTTTGAGTCAACCCTGCCCTCTGTCCATTACACTGCTCCGTGCTGGGTAGATTCTAGCCTACAGGCAGGGCACGCAGAGACATGGAAAGCAACAGAAGTTATACATTTACACCTTCTGCTGGTCATATATGGTATTGCTTCAAGTACAAGTACCCTGTGGATAATGGTCTGGTATGGGTGAACTCATATGGACAGACCTTTCTGACAGTGTATTGAGGAGAATAATGGGCAAAGAATTAGATGATGAAAACAAATGCATTTCAATTCATTCTGTGTATTTTATTAAAAATAAATAAATCATACATATGTTTTTAATATGAAAAACATTTAAACTCAGAGGGTGCTCTCTATCCTGAGGAGCTGTCACCAACAACAACTAAATTACATTACATCATTACATTACATTACATTTTTCTTAACCACAGTTATCATCAGTATAACTGAAGACTACATCCAAGTACATTTTTCTCAAACATACATAAGCTCTATTTTCAAAGATAAAGCAAAGAACAGACTTTAAATATTTATTTGCAAAAGTAAGATTCACATCTTTATCTACAACTAGACCGCGTTCACATTTAAATGATTTTTAAAATTTGTATTTTGTTTATTTATACCCTTTGTCTTAAATGAGTATTTTGAAGTGCCTTTTGTGCACATTAGTATTTAATGAACTTGTTCAATTACTTTTTTGAAACTATATGGTATGTTGTCAGTCATGTTTGATATAAACTTTTATCATATTTTTCCCTTCAGTGTTCCAACTTCATGCACATAATTTCATCTGAGGAATATGTGAAAACAAGAATGATATAAATATGTACTGTACACATTGCTATAGAGGAATTGCTACTCTTCAGATGTCATACTAACAGAATGGCTGAAATGTAGTATTTACTTGTAGAATTTATTATCTAATATGATATAGGTGATTCATGGAAGGGTAATAGATTTATGAAGAAGACTACTGTACATACTTAACAATCATTTCATTTTTTATATTCATCATCCTCCTTCAAAGCTAACACATCATTGCATTGTTGTATCCTAGCTCTTCTACTTGCACGGTTTATAAGACACTTGGTGCACTCTCTTTCCTCTCTAAGCTGTATGTGATTTCTGGAATGTATGCTAAAAATGGGTAATGTCTTTTGTATGTTGGCTAAGATAACAATGCTTATAAAGTTGCATTCAGAGACCAAACTGGCTGAGTGCATATAGTGGTGATTGTGAGTTGTTGTCATACTGTTTACCCTCTTTCTCTCTCTCTCTTTAACACTTGTCTAGTGATGCTGTCTGTTCATGAGTGTCTGATTGGTTGAATCCCTTGTGATGTAATGGATGTTGAGAACCCTTATGTCCAAATAAAAACAAATGTTGCCCTCTGATGTTGACATTTTCTGACTGTTTTATCCAGCAGGTCAAACAAATGAATTTACTATACTATACTATACTATACTATACTATACTAGCAAATACACATGCCCATACCTTTACTAATAGCCTAGTTGATCAATTACCTTGGTGTCTGCAGACGTTCATGAATCTCTATGAATTGGTATGCTAATAGATGGGTAATACCGAACCAATTCTGTCATTTTTTTATATTGTACCATATTGATAATCAGCTATCTTAGACACCAGGTTATCTTACAGTGTCTGTGTAAATAGACCAGCTAGCCCACCTCTATACAGGGAGATCATGCCCCAAACTTCTTGTGACTGAGACTGCAGTTCCATCTGAAGCCACATGATGGAGAAACTGCGGCACAAAACTACTGCTGTGCTTCTTGCCAGCACGATGTCCATTGAGAGACAGGGAGAGGAGATCTGAGAGTGGCAGAGTGTGTAGTGCAGACATGAGCTATATAATTTGTTTACAATATGTGACCTTTGAGGTTGATTATTATGTGTTAAAATAAATGTAAACGTTAGGTCAGCTATATTACTAGTGTATTATTGTGACGCCTAAAATATAATTTCCTGTTGACTGTCTGAAAATAACCTGGGATTCTATTAGTGGCAAGCTCTGGTTTATCAGTAAACAACCCACCATTCACGCATGAATAGGAGAATTCAATTTGTTCCAGCCCAGAGCCTTTAAATCAACAGAGACAAGACAAAAGCCCTGTTTATACCTGGTTCAAACATGCATGTTTTGATCCTGATCTTGTCCACATTCTGATTGTGCCCACATATTCAGACGTGTGGACGATTAAAATATGCATTGTGATCTGATTGTGATGGGATCTTCCTGACCTCTTGGAGGTAGTCAGGCACACATTGTGTAGACACATATGGACAGTGAAACCATTTAAATCATCATTATCCTATCAAAAATAATTGACAGGTGGCACCATTTACTCATTGCATCAATATGTGTATTAAAAAAA